TGCTGGCCTCCTTGTGTCTGTCCACGTGGGAGGACACGGATGAGCTCCCTACATGGCAGCTGAGTCCCAAGCCCCAGCGCAGTGGGACCAGGTGGATGTCGTGGTGCCTCCCGGTGCAGCCTCACACGTCTCCTGGAGACAGGTGTGTTGCAGTGGGGGCTGAGCCCACGCGGTTCTCGGCGAGGGGACAGGGACATCATTGTGCGGCCCGGGACAAGAAGAGCGAGCAGGTGTGCCAGCCTAGAAAAATGCTGTCTTCTGCAGCCCAGGTTTCGATGTCCCCAAAAGCGGGCTGTCTAGATCTACCCAGAGTCATCTCAGAAATGGAGAGCTAAAACAACCAAGCAAGTGGAGATCATATCTGGGTGTTGTGTAACATTCCACTCTGAGCAGAAAATAAAAAAGAGCAGCAGAACGGCACAGGCGGTGATCACCCCCGCCCTGTGGGGACGGCCTGGAGTTTGCAGCTTATCTCAAAAACGGGAAAACATGGACATTGCTAGAGAAAGAATTTGTTCCAGATTTAAATCAAAGGCTTCAAACACAGGCGAGGGGGGTGGCTGAAATCGCACGCGGTTAGTGAGCAGAGTTCTGGACGCAGACGCGCACCGTGCCCGCGTCAGCTGCCCGCCCCACAGAGTTTGCACCTCTGATAACCAGCGCTGCCCTGGGATGAAATGAGATAAAGCTGCAATCGCCCTTCACGGGTGGCAGCTATCCCTCACCACAAGGAGGCTGGAATCGTTTTAGGGTTCTTAACCACTGGGCTATGTGATGTCCTCTCCAATCCATAAATGGTGCTCTTGAGGAAACGGTCTGCTCGTTCCCGCAGTGGCCTTTTGGTGGCACCGGCAGGACGTGTAAATGACAGCCTGGACAGTGAGCCACTCCGGCCCTGCGCCCGGGCCTTGGAAGTGCTGCCCTCGGGGAGGCGTGGCACCAGCCCAGTCTGTACCTCGGTCAAGGCAGAGCTGGGGCTGGCTAGGACAGGAGGCGGTGGACACAGCAAGAGTCCCCCCAGACAGTGGGGACCCAGGCGCCCTGTGGCCAGGGAAGGGGCCTCCTCATCTGCCCACTGTGCTCTCCCTGCGCCGAGGCCAGATGTCCACAGGCTGCCGTGGACGGGGACGCCCCATTGGCCAGGAGGCCCTGGGGACGGACAAAGCTGCAGAGAAGCCAAGGGTTAGAGGAAACGAGAGGGGAGGGACAAGTAGACAGGGGAGAAGTAAGTCACTGTGCAACTCCGTAACCACCCGTGTTTGAGGGACTGAGAGTTGTGAGTGTGAGTGTGCGTGTGTGTGTGTGTGTGCGCGCGCGCACGCGCCCGGCTGTGCTGTCCCTCGGCTCGCCTGTGGACACAATGAACCCCCAGCTGTCAGCCTCTGGCAGTATGTGTTTGGAGGTTGCAGCTCGCCCACCCAAACCCAGGCCCAGGAAGCTGGGAGTGTTCCGATTCCAGTGTGTCCCCCGCCCGACCCCATCCAAGCAGCAAGTGTCATTGCCATTCCTGAGGGCCTGTCATTGGGCAAACTTTGGATAAAATTTTGCCGACTAAATAAATGAGAAAGCAGCTGTGAGCTCAGCCCTCGTCCTGGTGCAGGCGAAGATGGAAAGCGCTTCACCCGCTTGACCCTCCAGGCCACTGAGCCTGAGTCTCCCTCAGCCAGCTCCATGCGGAGCCTGTGGAAGTGCATGGCCTGGCTGCACTGGTCGGGTGGTCTCAGAGGGAGCCCTGGGATGTGCGTGTCATTACACAAGGGTTACAGCAGCCGCCTGCAGCTGGAGCCCAGAAACCAGGAGCTGGAAGTCACAGAGCAGGAGGGACTGAGGGTGCCGTCTCAGACCCCGGCTGGCCAGGCGTCCCCAGTGGGAGTCCACATTGAAAGGCTGAGGCAGCGGGCATCTGGCTCCACAGCTGCAGCAGCTGCAAGGCGTCCGCACAGGCCCAATCCAGTCTGTGCAGGTCCAGAGCTCCCGCCTCGGGCAGTGCCACCACGTTCATAGTGGGGCCCACTCAGTTCATTGACCCACACACCGTCGCCTCTGGGGAGACCCTCACGACCTCCCAGTGTGCTTCACACGTTCCCGGACCTCTCTCCAAGCAGTCAGGGGACAGCCAAGATTGACCCTCACAGCAGCCGGCCCCACACACCCGAGCCCTGATCCCAGGCCAGCCTCTGACCGACCCTGCTCTGGCCGGCTGAAGTTGGGGCAGGGCTGCTGGAGGCACTGGGGCCAGGCTGGGAGGGGCGGGAGGTGCCACACCCCCCCTTGGGCATCCACCTCCCACCTTCGCAGGCGTGCATTTCCCAGTCACCCTCCTGTGGCCAGCTCAGGAGGGGGACTGTCCTGGAGGCTGCCAAGGAGGACTGGTCCCCACCATGCACCCCCCACCGTCAGGGACAGCTGGGCCCCTTCCTGTTTCAGCAGAACCTGCAGATGCTGTGAGACACTGCAGATAACTGCTATCCCCTGGTGACTGCAGGCCCCAGCTCTGCAGAGGGGGCCTTCCAGCCCAGTGGGCAGAGCCCTCTGCACACTGCAGGGGCCCAGTCACACTCCCAGCCGTCGACCACCTGCCCTCTGCTGAGGTCAGGACCAGAGGCCGGGCTGGAGACGAGAACCGGCCAAGCACCTCTGCCCTGCTCCGCTCCTAACCTGGGGACTCAGGAGCAGCTGTTCACACCGCAGAGAGGGAGGGGACAGCATGGAGGAGGGGCTGCACCCCGCTTGGCCAAGCAGGACGGAGGGACGGGAGGTCCTGCACTGTCCACAGCTGACTGCTGGGTCCGAGGTCTCACAGCAAACTTGTGCAGAGGTGTGGCCCATGCCGTGCCTGACTCCAGAGCCTCGGCACCAACAGTAAAGCACAGGAAGGCTGAGGTGCCAGCCCAAAGTCGGGAGCCACTCATGGAGGAGCGCGGCCCAGGGCTGCAGAGCGGGCCTGCGCAGGGGCCTTGAGGTCTGGTCCGGGTCCGCACACAGGAAGGAGTGCAGGCGGCAGGGCCTGGCAGTGCTGAGTCGGCAACACACGTCAAGGTTACTCGAGCTCTGCTGACTCGACTAGAGGAAACCAGCACCACCTCACCGATGGACCGAGATAGGAGACAGGAGATGCAGCCCCATCCCAGGCCCTAACCTCCGCCCAGCTGGCAAGCCGAAGCCCAGAGGCTCCAAAGTGCCCAGGGCCCTGCTCAGACACACCTGTCACTTCCTCCCTGCCAGGCCTCCTGGGTGCCCACTTGGTCCCGAGGGCGCCAGGCCAGGACGGTGACTGTCAGCCCCAGCTCCATGCTCCGACAGTGTTTGTTGAATGACTGGACAGACCCTCATCAGGACCAGGTCACCTTCATCGCAACAGAGGCTCGAGCCTGCTGGGGTTTCTGGGGGATGGCAGAGAAGCTCCCCTCCTGCTCCCCAGAAGGCGAGGAAGCAGAGATGTGTGCGACAGACAGCAAAGCAGTACCAGGAACAGCAGGTTCCCAGCAGCCACTGTCACATCAAGCTCCTGTGACAACACCAAGTGTCTCCCCTAGGCTCCTGCCCATGACAAGGACAAGCTGAGCTCGTGGGAGTGGGGGCTCTGGGCCAGAGCTCCCCTGAGGCTGGGTTACTGAGGGCCTGTACACGCAGCTGAGGGAGCCTCGGTCCACTGAGAACCCTCTGCCACACCACCCTGTGGGAACCTGAGATTGCCCAGGAAGTGCTTTTGCAGGGTCGGGGTGGGTCCATCAGCACTTGTGAACGGTATCTCCAGCTAGGACAGGAGGCAGGAAGTGGCAGGAGCCACAGAGGCCTCGACATCCACACGGGCGTGGTTCTGAGGGCTGCACACTTGGGGCTCCAGGCCGGGCAGGGCATCTAAGTGACCAGCAGAGCCCCTCTTCTGAGCTGGGTGAGGGGCCCGAGCTGCTCCTGCAACAGGGCCTCGCTAAGGGAGGGACAGAGGCAGCGGAACCGGCCCCTGGCTCAGGAACAGGGAGGGGCAGTCCCAGGAGGGCTCGGGCTGAATTTGTCCTGATTCACTGGGCCGCTGTGCGGTGGTCCAGATTCTCGGCCGCTCCTCTGTCCTCAGGAAGCTGTCTGGGCCTCCTCTCCCCGCCTCCTCCGCCCGGTCTGACCCCTGCTCAGCGTCAGCAGACTCAGCTGTAGCTGCGCCCTGGCCTTTCCCCTTTGCCCCCAGCATCCTGGGACGACTTCCCAGGCCTCTCAGGAGCCCAGCCGGAGACACAGTGGCTTCTAAAAGCAGCCACTGGGCGTGGGCGGCGGGGCCCTGGGACTCCAGAGGCCACCAGAGCTGAGAACAGAGCTGGGAAGAGCGGGAGTGCACGGCCCCTGCCACAGCTGGCTTCCCAAGAAGCAGCAAGCCGGTCAGGGCATCGGGGTCTCAAGCAAAGGGACCTCAAGGCAGCCTTCTCTAGGCACAGGCCTAGGCGCGGCCCTAGCTGTGACAGAGGCCTCCCCTGAGCGGAAGGGGGGCAGGCTCAGGCGCAGGGGCAGAGCCACGGGCCGCCGCGAGCGAGGTGGCACGGACCCCACCTGCTCTGGAGGAGGCAGCAGGTGGCGAGGTGCCCGGCGCGACCAGGTGGGGTGCTGCACCGCCGCCTCCCCTTCTCTGCTACGGGATGCACTGGCAGGGTGTGGGCACCATCTCCCCTCGGGGAGGCTCGGGCCCCCGTGGGCGCACCAAGCTGTCAGTGCATCACCTGCAACAAGCAAGTGAGGAAACGGAGGCCCAGCCGCATGAGAGGACCTTCTTCCAATCCTCCTCTCTCCTCCACCTGGGGCCCCCTTTCCCTTCTCTGCACGCTCTCCTTTACCCCCAGGAAACGCCATTTGCAAGAAAGGCGGGCGCGAATTCCAGCAAAAGCACACGTTTGTTCATCACGGGCACGGCACACTGCGCATGCGCTTGCCAGGTCCCTCCCACCCCGCCCCAGCCAGACAACCCCTCTCGCCCGTCACCAACATGGCCGCCTCGGCGACAGCCCTTCCTGCACGCAAGGGCCGGCGGTCTCTGACGTCATCGGATGGCGCCGGTAATACCCGGGTAGGAGAAGGCTGCACGTGGACTCTGGTTTGCAAACTTTCGGGTCGGGCGATGGACACCCCCCTAAGGCGCAGCCGGCGGCTGGAAGGACTGAAGCCCGAGGCCACCGAGAACCTTGCCTCAGCTGGGCGGGTGAGACGAGCCCTTGCGAAGTTCGAGTCAGGCCCAGAAGCAACGCAGCAGCCCGGCCCGGGGTCCCCGCCACGCCCGCCGGAGAGCAGCGTGGGACCGCCCGGCCTGCCCCGCGGTGCAGACGCGGGGTCTCCCCGGGGGCAGCGGGGTCCAAGCCCGGAGTCGCCTCCGAGACAGCCAGAGGCGCGTCCTGAAGCCCCTCAAAGCGAGGAGTCGCCGGGGTCCCCCCCTCGACACCTGAAGTCGGGCCCGGGGTCACCTGAGCCTGAGCCGGGCCCGCCAGCGCCGGGCCCCGAGCCCACGCAGCCACCCCAGGAGCAGACGCCCCGGGCACCCGGCTCCTCGAAGGCCCGGCGGGAGCTGAGCGCGCCGTGCCCGGCCGCGGAGACCGTGTCGGGCGGCCTCGGCGCAAAGAAGCGACGGGGACCTTCCGACCAGGCCCCAGCGTCCAAGAAGCTGAAGCGGGAGGAGGAGGAGGCGCTGCCCGCGATCCCTAAGGGGAAGCCCAAGTCCGGGCGCGTGTGGAAGGACCGATCCAAGAAGAGGTGAAGTGGGGGCGCCGCCTGGGGAGGCCCACTCAGGGAGGGCGTCGCCTAACAGGTCGAGACCAGAATGGGGCCACGGGCCCTGGGATCCCCGGCCGCCCCGAGGCCGTTTCCGTGAGGCTTTCCTCCTGGGGCTGATGGCCCCCCGTAGCACCTCTGCCTCGGATCCACTGGACAGACGTCTACTGTTGTCTGCCTGCGTGTGTGGTGAGGGAGGCAGAATCCAGTCATCCAGCTGTGAGCCCGGTGGGCACAGCGAGGTCTTCCCGCCGCCCGCTGTGACGGGTACTGGCCCAGGTGATGCGGGCCAGCTGCGCTGAAGACGCGCACGCGCTAGGACTTCCCGGGAAGTAGAGGGGCTCGGACGAGCTGCAGGTGTTGTCTCTATTGTGGCCTCGCCTTGCCGACCGGTGTTCTGTTATTCTTGCTACCTCTGGGCAGACGGAGGCTCAGGAGGCCAAGTGGTGGTAGTCGCAGGCCCGAGCCCCGATCTGAAGTCAGATCCGTGTCCCAAGTCCCTTTCCCGCTCCCTGTTGGCTGAGCTGCCTGGAAGTCTTCTCGGCTCTCGCTCTTCTTGGCTCTCGGCGCTGAGGGCGAGGTGAATACCTGCTGGGTGATGGAATGAAGGAGCTCCCCAAGAGACAGCGGGGTGCAATCCACACTTCTGGCTATGGGGATCCCAGGCAGAGCCGCAGTGGTGGCTGGAGGGCCGGGGAGGAGGACGCTGCCCCCAGCGGGCCCCTGTGCGGGTGTCCTCTGGTTGCACCCTTCGAAGCCCAGGCATTAAGTGTTGCCCCGTCACACACACCCGTTAAACAGGAGAAGCTGAGGCTGGAAACAGCGTGAACCTTAGGGCCGCTTCTCAGTGCAAGCACATTCTGTGCCCTGCAGCGGCCTGTGAGGAGGCCCTGTTGGGCAGCTCGCTGACCACGCCTGTGCTCTAGAAGTAGCAGCATAGCGTCCTGTGGCCCGGTGTCCCCAGGGTCCTGTCACCTCGGCCCTGTGGGGTCCCTACCCCGGTTTGGGTGCCCAGCTCTGGGGCAGGAGTGCTGGGGTCTGAGGCCAGCAGTGCAGGGAAAAGAGAACCAGACTCATGAACACGACAAGCAGAAGGGCAGCGTCAGGCCTGCCGTGATGTGGGGGCCGGTGCAGGGAGCGGGGACACCCCACAGCCTCGACTGGGCTCCAGCCCGGGCGTCTCGGTCTCATCTTGTTTTTACTTTTTATTGTGGGGATTTCACGCACACAGCACAGGAGGGAGCGTAGTTTAATGGGCCCGGGTTCCCATCACCAGCTTCAGCAGTTCTCAGCGCTGGCTCTTCCTCTCTCCCTTTTCCTGGCTATTTTAAAGCACACCCTCGATGCCCCATCTGCCGGGCGCCCAGTTTTCCTAGAACTCTGGAATGAGCCCACCTGCCCAGGGCCCTGATGCCCGCACGAGGGTGGAGACGGGACCTGGGAGAGCACTGAGCCCACTCGCCCTGCCTGGGAGGGGCGGCCCCTGCAGGGGTGAGCGCCCATCCCAGGGTGTCCTCCTGTGGTGTCCGCAGCCAGACTCCACGGTCACTGAGGGGCACGTGTCCTAGCCAGCACCTGGACAAGGGCGTCAGCTGTGCTGAGCCCCGCCCTGCTCTGCCCTGTGCGGGTGTGGCCCATCCACCCAACTTCCTGTGAGTGACCACGCTGACCCCTGGCCCCAGGTTCTCCCAAATGGTTCAGGACAAGCCCCTGCACACATCCTGGAAGCGCAAGATGAAGGAGCGGCAAGAGCGGCAGCTGGCCAGGGACTTCGCCCGGCACCTGGAGGAGGAGAAGGCACGCCGCCGGCAGGTGAGGCCGCCCGCTGCTGTCCCGGCCAGGCTAGTGTGGTTGGAGCCCGGGGCCATCACTCAGGCTGCTCCCGTCCGCGCCTGTGCACTCTCATGGCACGGGAAGCCATGCAGGCTCCTGCTGTGCCCCTCTCCTGGGAGGCGATGGTTGGTGACACTGTCCCTGGATCGGGGTCACCAGGGGCTGGGCTTGGTTGGTGACCGCAGGGCACTGGACCAGTCATACAATGCGGCCCGCCCCTGAGGAAGGCGTGTCCCCAGCACTCTGTCCCCCACCAGCCTGGGCCCGGGCCCCGAATGCTGAGCCCTTATCTCACTTTCTGCGCAGCCTGCTCTGCTCTGAGGCGAGAGCCGCCCCGGGTCCCCAGACAGGAGCAGGACTCACTGCTTCCCCTTTCTCCTGGCCTGCACTGCCGCTCTCACTGGGCTTGGGGGACTGGGGCCAGGGTGCAGGGGAAGCTCCCAGGGTCCCTACCCTGGCTCAGTGTGTAATGAGCTTCCCTCCACAGTGGGCCCCTGGGGTCACTCCCTGGGGCTCCCCAGAGCTTCCTGGGCCACCACCCTGACACCCCCTGGAGCCCAATCGGGGGCCTCTCCCTCCCTGAGACCAGGGTCCCACGGCCTCAGTTTCCCCTCCCTGTGTGTCCCGTGTGTTCCAGGAGAAGAAGCAGCGCCGGGCTGAGAACCTGAGACGCCGCCTGGAGAATGAGCGGAGAGCGGAGGTCGTCCAGGTGGTGAGTGCCCCGGCAGCCTGAGGTGGGGCAGCCCTTCCCGGGGACAGGGCCAGCGCCCCGGCCACACTAACACCCCGACTCCCACCCCAGATCCGCAACCCCGCCAAGCTCAAGCGGGCGAAGAAGAAGCAGCTGCGCGCCATTCAGAAGCGGGACACGCTTGCCCTGCTGCAGAAGCAGCCGCCCCGCCGGCCAGGGGCCGAGGCCTGAGCCCGCGTGGACACTGGGCAGCGCCTCTGCCATAAGGAACTTGGCCCGGGGCTGCTGGCCTCTGAGGGCTCTGGAGGAGGCTGGGGTTCAGGCCCTGACCACCTGTCCTCCCCCAAATGCCTTCCACCCCAGTACCGTAACTGGTGACCACTGTGTGCCCAGGCCTGGGGTTCCGAATCCAGCGTCCCCACCCGGCTGGAAGATTAGGGTGGGAAGCTGGGGGGGGGGGCGCCCTCTTCCCGGCAGAAGCCCTGAAGGGCAGAGGGGGCCACACCCGGCCACCCCGCAGCAGGGAGCTATTTATTGCGGGGCGCTGTGTGCAGGGCCAGGACGAGCAGGTGCAGACCTGTATCCCTGCCCTCGGGCTCTTACCCGGGAAGAGAAGCAATAAACAAGTGAGCTTGGTGTGCTGAGCTGGGGTGCTGCCCGGAGGGCGGGGAGGGGCCGAGACCTCTGTCCCCAAACAGGAAGCGCCACGCCCTCTGTCCTCAGGAGATGGCAGCTGTGGGGGCCCACAGGGTCACTGGTGGGTGCTGCAGAGGCCTTGGGGTGACAGCACCCTGAGTGCAGCCCACACTGGGCTCCGGACTCGGCGGGTGCCCTGTGGCCCTGAAGTCCGCACCTCCGGGGGGGGGGGTGTAGGGGGACGCGGAGTGTCGAGCTGGGGCTGTTGGGGCCGCGCCTGAGAGATGTGCTCGGGCCGCCAGCCTGCTCTGGAATCCCCCCCACCTTTGCCTAGCATCGCTCCAAGCGTGGCCCCGCGGTGCTGCTGGAAATGCAGACTCCGCTGGATGCGGTGGTGCCCGCCTGCCAGCCCCATGCCCCTGGATGCTGAGGCAGGGGGATCTCACGTTTGAGCAAAGTTAGTGACTTAGACCCTACCTCAAAACGAAGGGCTGGGAGTGCAACGGCTGTGCGGCCGCCCGCAGAGCCGCCCTGCTGTGCCCCGGGAGCCCCGAGACTCAGGCACGTCCGAGGCTGAAATGCAAGCGCCACTTCCGCGCACTTTTATTTCTGCAAGGATCGGAGTCCCGTGGGCCACTCGGGGCTCGGTTTCCTGGGAGGCTGAGCGGAGCCGCTTGCCGCGCCCTACCCGGAGGTCGAGCGGGGCCCGTCGCTCCCCAGGGCCGCGGGCCCCCGCAGCCAGCGGAGCAGGGCGCAGCGCCCGGCCGAAGACAGCGACGGCGAGGAGGCCGCGGCGGTGACCCCGGGGGAGGAGCGGCGGCGGCGCGAGCCCGCCTCGCCGTCGTCCACCAGCACGCTCTCGAGCACGGCGCGCAGCGAGCGGCGCAGCTTGCGGCCCACGTCAGGGCAGGTGAGCACGTAGAGCAGCGGGTTGACCACGCTGTTGATGAAGGCCAGGCTGGTGACGTAGGGCAGCCCGCGCCAGGCCAGCGGCCGCAGGGCCGGCACGACGTGCGCGCGCGCCTCGAGCAGGCTGAAGGCGTGGTAGGGGCCCCAGCAGAGCGCGAAGGCCGCCACCGCCGCCGCCACCAGGCACGCGAAGCGGCCGGGCCGGAGCCCGGCTTGGGGCCGGCGGCGCAGGCGCGCGCTCAGCACGGCGTGGCTGGCGGCGATGTCCCCCAGCGGCAGCACGAAGGCCAACAGGAACTTGCTGCCCGCCAGCGCCGCCTGCCGCCGGCCGCACGTCGCCGCGGGGTCGCCGCCCGGCGCCAGCGCCAGCACGTCGTAGTAGCACATGGTGCGGCCGTCGCGCCGCGGGATGGTATCGCGGAACACGAAGTAGGGCGCCGTGTTGAGCAGCGCCACCGCCCACAGCGCCGCGCACACCCTGCGCGCCGCGCCCACCGAGCGGTGGTTCTGTGCCCACACCGGGTACACGACGCGCACGCAGCGGTCCAGGCTGATGGTGCTGAGCAGGAAGCCGCTGGCGAACATGTTCAGGAAGAAGACGGACGAGTACAGCTTGCAGAAGGCCGGACCAAGCTCCCACGAGTGCCCCACGGCCAGGAAGTAGGTGAAGAAGGGCAGCGAGGCGGAGGCCAGCAGGTCAGACAGCGCCAGGTGCAGCGCCCAGGTGGTGACCACGGTCTGGCGCATGCGGCAGCCCACGACAAACACGATGAGCGCGTTCTCCACCAGGCCCAGCAGCGCCACCAGCCCGTGCAGCGTCACCGACGCGTGGTCCATGTAGCGCAGGCTGGAGTTGCCGTGGGCCTGCAGCCGGCTCATCTGCTCCAGGACCGGGCACAGCAGCCGCAGGGAGGCGTTGGCCATGGGCGGCCTGCGGGCGGGAAAGGGGCCGCCGTGCTCAGGCTCAGTCCGTGGCTTGGTCCACGGGAGCAGCGCGGTTCTGCCGCGCGTGGTCCCGGCCCCGCCGAGGGGTGGCTCCGTGTGCAGCGCCCTCCCGACCGCGGGCAGGACAGGAAATGAGATCGGCGGGAGGAAGCGCACGGGCCGCGGGCGAGAGCACCTCCCGGGGGGCTGCGGCCAGGGCCCACGGTCCCCAGCCGGTGCGATCTTGGGGGCGTCCCGCATGGAGCACCCGCCGCCGGGTCGCCTGACAGATGCCGGTCACGGGCGCCGGCGATACCAGCGCCTCGTCCCTCGCTGCTCCGAGCAAGGTGATGGGTGCGTCCTGCAGAGCCAGCGCTGCTCATGGCCGGGACGGGCGTAGCGCAGGGCTGGAGCCGCCCCAAGGCGCCGCTCCCCCGGGCTCCGCGTCCCGAGCCTCGGTGGGCAGCAGCCTGGCTCAGCGGAGGGCGGGCGTAAGGGCTGGAGAGGCGGCCACTCCGCCACCCGCGGAGAGCTACCCGCCAGGTGCCTGGGCCGGTGCCCAGCCTCCCCGGAGCCAGCGTCCCGCTTCGTGCCCGTTGCTGTGATCCCTGCCGCCCACGCCTGAGCACCCGGGGTCCCTCACCTAGCGCCAGGCACCCGCCTGCCGAGGTCGCCCCCTTTCCGCCGCCCACCCTGGGAGAGCAGACCCTCTCCTGGGCCTTGCCACCGCCTCTAACCTGGACTCGGCCCGGAGGCGGGCGGTGTGGCTGGAACAGGCGGGCGGCAGCAAGCTGTGGAGGAAGTACTGGCTGGGGCGTGTGTGTAAGACTGTGTGTGTGCGCGTGTGTATGTGTGCCCAAGCGCGCGTGGGCGGGGACAGTGAGGGGAGCTGTCCCCCTCCCCGCGAAGCCCCGTCCTGCCCTCCACCTGGAGCAGGCTGCAACCAGGGACCCGCACGCGGCTGTGCCGGGCCTGAGCCCTGCCGACCGCGGCCCGACTGCCCGCTCCTGACGCCCAGGCGCAGGGAGGACCGCGGGGTCCCTGTCCTCCCGCCCGAGGGCCCAGGGGAAGCAGGGAGGGGAGGCCCCGTGCCCGGCGGGCTCCAGTCAGCCTCTGGCTGGGCGCCCGTGGTGCCCGTCTGTAATCCCAGCACCTCAGGAGGCTGAGACAGGAGGATCACAAGTTCGAGGCCAGCCTGGGCAATTTAGAGCAGGGCTCCCAGGGCCCCTTCCCCAGGACTGCAAAAAACGGTTTTAAAAAAATGTAAGGGAAAAGCAAAGCAAGCTTCATCTCCACCAGGGGAGAACCTGAACCCAGGCCCGGGTGAGGCCCGATGCTCGGCTGGAGCCCACCTTTCTGGTGCCGTGCGGCATTACACGCCCCCCCCCGACCCCAGACCCAGGGGCACCCAGGAAAGCGCGGAGAACCCAGCGTGCTGTGCGGGCACCGCCAGGGGGCAAGGCGACCGCGACCTCGGGATGGGCGGGGACAGGGCGCTCACTGGGCAGCAGGGAAGGGGCTCGGCTGCCCAGACCCCGCCAGCCCTGTGACCTGGGGAGCACGTGCTGGGGCCCCTCCCAGCGGCTAGACGGAAACCTTAGAGGGCCTCCAGTTGCCCACTCCTGGCCCAGAAGTGCAGGGGCTGGACAGACTGCTCCCTGGGACGAGGATGGCCCCTCCCCAGATGTGTCCCTCAGGACCTCAGCCCTTCTGGACGCCTCCCCGGATTGCCTTGTGCAGTGGACATCCTGCGCACCAGCTCCAGCTGGAGCTCTTCCTCCTCTGGGCCCTCACCTTCTCCATCCTGTAGCCAGTGTCCACCTCTTTCCCGTGCTCCAGGAGGACCACTCAGGACTAAGCAAACAAAAATAGTAGCTAAGCTTTGCTAGGCCATCAGAGTAGCCAAAAATAGGAATTCCATGTGCACAGACCGAAGGCATTTTTCTGTAGAAGAGGCCGCCACTGGCCCTGCCCTGCCCCACGTCCCCGAGTCACCTGGCCCACCCCATGGTGGCATCTGCAGGGCCCCACAGCCTGGGCGGCAGGGTCGCAGGGGACAGCGGGTGAGCCGGGAGGAGACACAGCAGCAGCCCGGCCACTCAGCTCGGCGTCCTCAGAGTGTGATGGGGCCTGGACCCTCAGTCCCTGTTGGGAGCCGGGCCGCCAGGCAGGCCAAGGGGGTCGGGACGGCGGGCTCCAGCTGGGCCTGAGGACCCGGGCGCCTGCGGAGGGCACAGGGCCTGTCTGTCCCCATCGGGTCCCCTCCCACCTGGCACGCAGACCGGCCCTCCAGGCTGGGACCCTTGGGCACCACTGCATCCCTGCTGTCCCGTGCTGCACCAGAGGGGGCACCCAGGTCCCTCCTCCCACCCCCCCCTTCCCCCAGCCACTTCACAGATCCCTGACCAAGAGGAAGTGAGGTACAGCCGGAAACACAGGGTCAAGAGCACAGTGAACTCCTGTGCCTCAAAACCCTGGCCAACAGTTAACTCCTCTGAGAAGCCTGTCTGATTCTGACAGACCCTACCTCTTACCCTTCCCCTTAATGTCACTACCCCTTCATCCTTCGCTGCTCCCCACATCTGCTGTCTACCTCGACATAGCACCCACACCCCAGCTTGGTGCCAGGGCCAATCGCATGTGAGGCTAGCCAGAGCCCAGGGTGGGGGTGGGGACGTCCCTCAGGGCCAAGGTGATGCCAGGACTGGACACGGCGTGCCCGGCACCCCCAGCTGCTCCGGCCCGCGTGGCTGGGCCCAGCCGTCTCGTGCGTCCAGCTGGCTCACGGCGTCCAGCACGCGAGCACTTTGGTTGGTGGGTTTGCTGCTTGTTTTCTGAGACAGGGTCTCGTGATGTAGCTCAGGCTGGCCTCGAACTCACAGCGATTCTCCTGCCTCAGCCTCCCAGGTGCTGGCTCAGACGTGCACCACCATGACTACCCAACTTGGATGCATTTTGGCCTTAAGGTTCTCATCTTAGGCTGAGGACATCGTGGTGGTCAGGGCCCGAGCCCCACGCAGCCGCCTGCAGCCACCTCCCCCAGGGAAACCTCACCAACCCGCCAGGTGCCCGCTGAGCACCATCCCCAGCTGGACAGGCAGCACCTCCTCAGGCCTCCCCCAGGCCCAGCTTCCCCAGGGCCGCCCGCAGGAGGCTGCTGGACTTCGGAGGAGACAGGGACACCAGCCACTGAACACTCACAAATGCACTCACCACCACTGAACTAAGGCGAGTGCGTGCACAGAGCACAGACAGGAGCAGGAGCTCCGGGAAGTGGGACCAACCAGCTTCTCTGTGGGCACTCACTTCCTCGGAAGCTGTGCTCCGGGGCCTGAGGAGCCGGGGCCCACGCAGGGCAAGAGCGAGGAGCCCAGCTGCGCCTCCGTGAGGGCTGAAGTTGGGGTGATAAGGTGAGCCCGGGCTCCAGCCAGGAACAAGAGCAACTCCCACCTGAAACGGCTCAGGGGCAGACGCCTGCAGCCTCGGCACTCTGGGAGGCTGAGGCAGGAAGAGCAGCGCTGAGGCTGAGACCTGTCTGAAAAGGAGAAGGGCCGGGCAGCGGCACGGTGGTCCACGCGAGCTCTGCCTGGTGACCCTGGCTCCTGGCCTTAGGCCACCGCCCCTAAGGAGAGCCGGCCCAAGTTCCCTGCCAGGCCACGTGCCCCCCCACCCAGGACAGACCACTGGGGAGTGGGCAAGAGGGGCAGCAGCCGCGCCCACCATGCACCCCCAGCCCTGCTCGGTGCCGGCCCCAACACCCGGAGGTGGCTGTGTGTTTTCTTTTTTTAATGAAACTAAATCGCTGCTTATAAAACCTGCAGGACCCCTCCCCCCCCCAGTCCCCTGGCCCGGGCTCTGTCCCCAGGGCCTGAGCCGTGTGGATGGGGAGGTCCAGGCAGCCCAGCCCTCAGGTGCCCCAGAGCCCCAGAGAGAAATGACACGAGCGTCCCCAAGTGTCCCCTGCCGCCCGCCCGCCAGGCGCCGCTACAGGCTGTAGAACTTGAGGCTCCTGTCCATGCCTGTGGACGCCAGGAACTTGGCGTGGTGCCCAAAGGCCACCCCCGTGGTCAGGCCGCTGTGCTCTGCAGAGAGAGGAGGCGGGGTGAGGCCGGGCTCCTTCCTCCTCCTGACTCGGCCGGCTGTGCCCACCCCAGGGCAGGGCTCCAGCCCAACACAGGGTGGGCGGGCAGCCTCCCCCAACGTGCATACAGCTGCGGGAGGAGGAAGTGGCTCAAATCGGGGAGCCCGGGGTCAGGGCGCTGCCACCCCACGCACACCAAAGTCCTGACTGCTTCGGCGCTCAGGAGCAGGAGGAAGCAGGAGGGAGCCCCGCCGGCACCAGGCCCGGCTACCTGTGAAGTGCAGGATCTCCGTCCACTGCTTGCAGATATAGATCTGCACGTCTGTGCCTCCGAGAGCCAGGTAGGTGCCACTCTGGTCGAAGATCAGGGACTTCACCTGGCAGGGCAGGGCAGAGCAGAGCAGAGGTCATACCAGGACAGCGGGCAGCCAGGCCCGGGGCAGAAGGGTGGAGCGCACCTCGAAGTTGTTGTCCAGCTGCAGCGTCTTGAAGTTCTTCAGCTTGCGCAGGTCCCACAGCTTCACGGAGGAGTCGTCAGCCGCCGTGGCCAGGTAGTAGCCGTTCTCGGAGAAGGCGATGCTGGTGATGGGGCCCGAGTGGCCGGGGAAGTTGGCCACATTGGTGCGCTCCTGCCGGCGGACAGCGAGGGGCGACAGGCGGGGTCCCGGGGTCGCGGTGAGGCCTGCGCAAGCCCCGCCCCCCTCCGGCCCCCCGCGCCCGCCCCACCTTCAGGTCCCAGATCTTGATCTGAGAGTCCATGGTCCCCGTTCCGAAGATGAGGCCGTCGGGGTGGAACTGCGCGCAGGTGAGGGCTGCGGAGAGGCAGGCGGCGGGCGGGATGAGCGCTGCACACAGGCCCACCCGGCCGCCCTGGGTGCTCCGGTGCTCCGCCGCCCGCCCCGCCCCGCCCCGCCCCGCCCCGCCGCACTCACAGCAGCCGGAGGTCTCGTCCGTCACCTTGGTGAGCACGCGGCCCGTCTGGATGTCGGAGAAGGCCCAGTACTGCAGGCAGGACGGGGCGTGAGGAGGCGCCCGCGGACAGGTGGGCGGCGGGGGCGGGGGGCATCCTCGTCCTCCCTCCTCCCGCCTCCCCGCGCACGCACCTGGTCGTCGGAGGAGCTCAGGAGGTAGTCGCCCGTGGCGTGCAGGCTCAGGCCGGTCACGGCGCTCTCGTGGGCCCGCACCACCTGGACGCAGGAGGTGCTGGGGACCGACCAGATCCGGATGGTGGCGTCCGGGGAGGCCGAGAACACGAGCTCCTGAGGAGCCCGGAGGTGTCAGAGAGGGGCAAGGGCAGGGGCACGGGCGCCAGCACGGGCGCCAGCACGGGCACAGCCGCAGCCGCCCCGTCTCCCTCCCTGCACGGCCCCTGCTGGACCCCGAGGCAGCGCACGCACTCCTGCAACCTGCCAGGGGCCTGCCCCGCGGCTGAATGTCCATCAGTCCCCTCAGAGCCTCCCCCAGCGGCCGCCAGGGTGTGCACAGCCTGGGCCCAGGCCCAAGGGCAATTCCACATCCCGCAGCTGCACTCCAGGGCAGTTAAGTTTCCAGAACCCCAGGGCGGGAAGAGCTCACAGCCTCCCTAAGGACTTGGCTGTGACAGGGAACCGCAGGCGGTCAGGGCTGAGGAAGAGGCGGCCCTGCATTCCGCCCCTGCATTCCACTCCACGCTGCCCGTCCTCACCCTCACCCCAGCACTGAGCCCCTCTCTGGTTCACGTTACTGCAGTTTTGTTGGGGTTTTTTTTGAGACAAGGTCTCACCACGCAGTCCGGGCAGGCCTTGAAATCACTAGTGGCCCAAACTGACCTCAGTGATTCTCCTGCCTCAGCCTCCCGAGTGCTAGAATTACAGGCATGTGCCACCAGGCTGGCCTGTGATTTACGTTATGAATGATACTAAGATTTTCCCTCAACACAGACTATTTCAACGAAAAGGCTTTTGTCAAACTGCATTTCCTCCTGCCCTGGCACGAAGCGTGCTGCGAGGAGATCCCATAAAGGCCACTCCCCGGCCTGGCTGGGACCCCATACCTGGGAAGGGTGAAACACCACACTGGTGACCTTCTTGGTGTGGCCTTTGAGGGTGGCCAGGATTTGCTCAGAGCTCTTATCAAACACGACCACGTTCTTATCCGCCCCGCCTGGAGAAGACCCAAGGAGATGGCACTGAGCCGGGCCACTCAGCTGCCAGCACTGGAGAAGGCTCTGCCCCGGGCCCCGCCTCACCAGTGAGGATCTTGTTGGTGTCGGAGGGGCAGAGGTCCAGGGCGAGGATCCCAGGGATGCTGGCACTGTGCAGCCCCTATGCAGAGAGCCGCAGCAAAGCTGGTCAGTGGCCCAAGGCAGAGCGGCCCCACCCAGGGAACAGAGGGACTTCTACGTGGGCAGCATGGGGACCCCTCAGGGCTCTGCCCATCAGCAGCCCTGCCAACTCAGCAGGCAAGGGGAGCCCCAGAGGCCGGCCGGCACTCACCACATGCGATGCCACCTGCCGGTACTTGCTGAGCTCCTCCGGCTTCACCAGCTCCTCCGGCACTGTCTTCCCTCTCTGGAACACAAAGCCCCCCAAGGAAGTGGCGGTGAGCCTCAGCTCAGCCACCCCTTCCTGCCGGCCAGCACCCCGTATGCCCCCGCTGCAGGAACCCACCTTCTTCCGCTCCGTGGTCAGCACCGTGGCCTTGTCTTGCAGCTAGAAGAGAGGACAGTGAGGCATCTGCCTGCATGGGGGACGCTGTTGCAGGCGCCGCGCTCTGTGCTCATCGAGTTCACCTCTCCCTCCATCTCGGAGCTACCCGCCCAGGCACAGTGGCAACGGCGCTGCCCAAGCGGTTCGGGGACCCGACCAGAGTGGGGCACAGCACACACAGCAGCGCTGCCCTTCCGGAGCTGAGTCGCAGCCTCCCCTCTTCTGTGGGGCAGACCGCACACCCTGGACGTCTCTGAGCAGGAGCTCCAGGACGGACAGAGCGTGTGGGCAGTACCACCAACAGCAAGCTAAGCATCAGAACACAATGCCCCACAAGCGAGGTCACTGCCCCCCGACAGACACACAACGCACCTTCTGGATGATCTCCTGAGTCATTCCCACCAGCTCACCCAGATCCATGGGCTCACCTGCACCCTGCGGAGGAGAAAGGCGAAGCTGGAGAGGCAGGACGCCAGGCACTGTGGAAGGAGAGCCAGAGCCAGAGCCAGGTGCAGGGGCACGCACCTGTAGGCCCAGTGCTCTGGGAGTCTGAGGCAGGAGGATGCCAAGTTCCAGCCCAGGCAACTCAACCACCTAGTGAAGCCCTACTTCAAAATTTAAAACTAAAAAAGGGGCTGAGATATAGCTCAGTGTGAAGACCCTGTACTGCAAAACACAAAGAAGGGTGCCCAGGATGTAGCTCGGCGACACCACACTTGTCTCACAAGCACAGGGTCCTAAGTTTGATACCGGTACCAAAAAAGCTGGACAAAACCCAACGAAGGGAGGGAACACCCACTTACCACAACACTCGGCTGGGAGCTGGGCACAGCCTGGGGTACGATGAGGCCAGCCTGCGGCTTCAGGGTTGCCAGAGCTGGGAGAAAGGACAGGACGGCGTGAGGCGGGGTGAGGCGGGGTGAGGCGGGGTGAGGCGGGGCGGGGCAGCCAGGCACAGGGCGGGGTGGCGCCCACCTTCTCGGGCGGCAGTGACTTCCTTGGTGAGCCGGGCAATGACGCGGCAGGCGGCGTCGTGCTGGTACAGCGCATGCGACAGCTCCTGGCGGGTGGTCTGCAGCTGCTGGCGCAGGGTGAAGCTGTGCAGCATGACGGCATCCTGGGGGAAGGGCTGCACTGAGGGCGGGAGGCGCACACACCAGGCCCGAGGCACCCCGACTCGCGGGCAGACGACGCGCTCCGCCCGCACACCAACCGGCCCAGACTGCGGCCCAGACCGCGGCCCAGACTGCGGCCGGCTCCCTCCCAACCCAACGCTTCCGAGGATGCCGTGCGCGCAAGGCCAGCACCACTCTGGGCAACGCCACAAGGAAGTCCCGTGCCACAGGCTTGTGCTCTGTCCTGCCCCTCAGAACCCGAGAAACAGCGCTAATCTATGCCCTGCAGTCAGGGAAACCGGGACTCAGACTGAGCAACACGACCCCAGCCACACTGAAGCACTGGAGCCAGGCCAGGAACCCGGGTCCGTATGACTTCAGCCACCAGGCATTCCGAGCCGCGCAGGAGGCCCAGCCGCAGGCTCAGCGGGAAGAGGCAGAGACAGCACAGCCGCACCATCCCTCTCCCCTCCAAGCTCACCCACTCGTCCTGCAGGGCTTTCAGGATGGCTGGGATGCTGGTGGCCGAGGGAGGCTTGGGCCGGATCGGGTGAGCAACTGCCAAGGCAGGGAAGGCCACCGTGAGGGCCGGTGGAGGGCCCCAGCCCACCTCGCTCCCTGCGCCCCGGCGGGGCCCGGGCGGCACCTTTGATGTCGATGAGCTGCTCCTCGGAGAGCGGCTGGTTGTTGATGGGGTCGGTCCCATTCTCCGCGATGTACTTCTCGATGAGCCGCCGCTCGTACACGTGATTGGACACGGGGGACACGCACGGGTGCTCTGGGACCTCATTGGAGACTGCAGAGGAGCGGGTGTGAGCTGGGGCAGAGGGCAGGGGGCAGGCGCCCGGGCCCCGGCTGCCCGCTCCTCGCTCCTCGGACGGCGTCTCCGTCTCCTCCTGACGGCCCCCATCACCGCTCACTCCGGCGCCTGCCGCCTCCGAGCAGCCTGGAGCCCGCACGGCCCCAACCCGGGGCAACGCTGGCCAGGCAGGTGAGGCCCAGGAGGACGCCTCGGACTCCGCACACGGGGAGGGCCGCAGCTGCAGCGCCGTCGCCACTTCCGGGCCGGGCAGCCTCGGCCGAGCCTCGTCTTTCCGAGCCCTTCATCCGCCTCTGCGGAGCCGGCACCGGCCGGGCCCCCACCGCGTCCTTGGCCCCGCAATGTGGCCCGGCTCTACGGACTGCGGGGGCGCGGACACGGCGGTGGGCGGACAGGGAAACTGAGGCCCGCGGCCGCCACCAGGCGCGTGCTGGGCAGTCCCGGGTCGGCGAGAAAGCGCCCGCCCCCCATGCCCACTGGAGCCAGCGCTGGAGCCGCGCCCGCGCCCGCCCGACCCGGCCCGGCCGCACTCACTGGAGCAGATCAGGGACATGGCGCCGGCCGCGCGCCCTGCCGCCTCACGCCGGGCTCCGGATGCGCCCCTGCCCGCCCCCGGCCGCTTCCGGCTCCCCGGGGCTTCCGAGACGCTCCGCGGTGAGAGGGGGCGGCCCGCGAGCGGAGGCCGCGCTGCGCTTCACGTGCGAGGGCGGCCGGCGGCGGCTCGGACGGACCCCAGCGCCCAACGGAAACTGCGCTTTCCCACAATACACCCCGGCCGGAAACGGCCTCCCAAGGGTGTTCTGTTCCTTCCGGTTGAACTCGGCTGAGGGACGGGAGGCGGGAAGGAGAGCGGAAGGTACCCTTTCCTCGTTGCCTCGGGAACGCGAAGTCAAAGCGGTTCGCCCGCGGCTGTTCTGGCAGCAGCGCCGCGCGGAACAAGGGGCACCGAGGCTTTGAAACTTTGGTGTGCGAGAGAATTTCCTAAGAGCTCGTTAAAACAGATTCTTTGGGTGCCCCACGGAGTCCCCAGGTCTCCACGTGGTTCTCGATGGGCTTTTGCACTGAGCTACATCCCACCCCATTTTATTTTTGATTTTGAGACAAGGTCTCTCTGAGTCACTGAATTGTCCAGCCCCCAGGCTGGTCTTGAACTTGCCATCCTCCTGCCTCAGCCTCCTAAACTTCTGAGATCACAGGGTGGACCACCACTCCCACCGCTTCCCAACTTGCTGTATTGAAGAGATTGCCCCCCCTCCCCCACGCAGGGGTTTAATCTCCAGTCTGTCAAACGTTTAGGAGGCCGGAAACTTGCTTTGACTGTGGGGTGAGCGGTGGGGACCTTTCGACCGTGACTAGACCAGATTTGGCTCTAGGGTGAGCTCCCATGTGCGCTGTAGGGAGAGGGGGCGCTGTCGCCAGCCGGCCGTTTGGGCCTTGAGCCTCTGGAAGAGTGAGCCAAATAAAGCTCTTTGCTTTATGAAGCAGCCTGCGTCGGTGCTCTGGGACTAGAGACGTGGCCGCGGCTCCTAGGGCCCTCCATGCTCAGCGCTCAGCTCCCGGAGTCTGAGAAGAGACGCGTGGCCCGTGGAGAGCGAGGTCGGGCTGTGGGGTGCACAGGTGAAGGGCTCCGACAGGCCGTGGACAGGGAAGTGCCCAGACGGGAGGTGGAGAAGGAGGGGTCCCAGGAAGGACACGGCAGGTGGCAGGGTGCAGGGACCAGGAGTTCAGACTCCGGAGCCCACCTGTGAGCCAGGGAGATGGCGCAGTCAACTTCTCTATGCCTCAGTTACCTTATCTGAAACGGACGCGTGACCAGGTATGTCAAATAACAATGCAGGAGGCCTTTGTATTGGCCTGGGTCCCAACAGATCAGACTCAAAGCCAGACACTGGCTCACTCCTGTGATCCTAGCGACTCAGGAGGCTGAGGCAGAAGGATCATAAGTTGGAGCCCAGGAGTTCACCGTGCATCGCTTGGGAAGTGTCCTCGGGGGTCCCTTCCAGCCGGCCGGCTTCTAACCCAGTCAGAGCGGCCGGTGACCTCCTTTCTGTGGAAATCTATTCACATGTTCCCCAGGCTCCTCATCCACTCATTCGTGTCAATCTCCGTCCTGACAGCTGGGGATGCAGAGCATGAAGGGGACAGCGCGCTGCCTCTTCTCTCTCCCTAGATATCGACTGGGGATTGAACTCAGACCCTTCGCAGTCAGCCGCACTTTCAGCAGATTCTTGATTGATTGATTTTTATTTTGAGGCGGGGTCCAAGTTGCTGGGGCTGGGCTCCAACTGGAGATGCCCCTGCCGCACATTTAGTGAGCACAGAAGGAAGAGTTCCAGGGTGGTTTGTGCCTCACATCGGAGAAACCCAAGTGGGGCATGCAGGGGGCTGGGATCCGGGGAGCTGGCCACACCAGGCAGGGTGGTCCGGGCAGCCCCCGAGGAGGTGCCCTTTTTGCAGAGACCTAAATGAGGGAAAGGAGCAGTCCAGAGATGGCGAAGGAGGGAGGTGCTTGTGGCGGAGGAAATTTGCCCCAAGTCCTGCATGACAGGCCCGTCAGCTCTCCCAGGCTCACCTCACTGCCTCCGTAGACACAGTGGTATTTTCTTTCCCCGGGCTCCCAGTATTGCAGATAGGTGCATTAATTAGATACCTCATAGGCAGTCAGACAGGGCTGGCCCTCCAGGAGCCAACGTGGAGAACTGTCAAGACAGTCACTGGAGGCCAGCATTGTAAGAGAAGAGACACTACTGAGTGCCTCGCCAGGGATGAATACCAGTGATTGATATTCTAAATAGGAATCAATCACCCAGTCTTAACCCAGCCTTTCCAGGAAAGACCCCTGACCCACCCCTTACCACCGAAAATCCTTGCTCATTCCTTCTACGCTCGCTACGTGACTTGCTTCCCCATTGCTTCCCCATGTAACCTAAGCAACTATACTTGTCATAGTCTTTGTTTTTTTGGTACTGGGGATTGAACTCCAGACCTTGCACTTTCGGGCAGGTGGCAGAACCACTGAGCTAAATCCCCGGCCCACTTGTCGTAATCTTATTGGCTGATCATAGTTTTGTCCACCTTGTGATTTCTCATTGGATCAGTATTACCTAAGCAACTGTACTTGTAAGCTTACTAGTTGACTATAGTTTTGTCCCACCTTGAGCCCGCCTCACCTCGTGGGTTTGTCTGATAACACACCTTTGAGAAGTTGGGTGAGTGGGCAACCCACTTTCGGGTCCCCCTTCTGTCTCTCCTGGATAAAAGCTTTTTTTGTTTGGCGGAACTAGAGATCCAGTGCTGGACGGTGGGCTTGCCAGTCAGGTGCGGGGCCACTGAGCTAAATCCCGGGCCCTATTTTTTTTTTTCTGGCACCGGGGACAGAACTCAGGACCTTGTGCTTGCATGGCAGGCACAGTGCCACTGAGCTGAATCCCCAGCCCAGAAGCTATCTTCTCTCAATAAATTTTTCCTACTCTTAACCTCTGTTGTTCCTAGAATTTATTGATTTTTTTTTTTTTTGGTACCGGGCATTGAACTCAGGACCTTGTGCTTTTGAGGCAAGTGCCGGAACCACTGAGCTAAATCCCCAGCCCTATTCTTTGATTTTAATAACACAAACTCGCACTTTGCATTTGGGGAGTTAACATCTATTCCCCCTATATCAATATCAGCCTGGTGTGGTGGTGCAGGCCTGTAATCCCACCACTCAGGAGGCTGAGGCAGGAGGATCACTGTGACTTCAGGCCAGCCTGGGGGACATAGTGAGTTCAAAGCCAGCCTGAAATACATAGTGAGACCCCATCTCAAAAAAAAAAAAACAAAGACTTCGTATCAGCAACCCATACATATCCATGTTCCTACCAGCACAACTCATCATAGCTAAATCTTGGAAGCAACTATGTGTCCATCAACGTTGAACAGATAAGGAAAATGGGGCATTTATGCATAATAGAGTACTACTCTGCCATAAAGAAAGATAAACGAGTCACCTGTAGGAAGATGGACGTACTGAGAGACCATAATATGAAGTGAAACAAATCAGACACACGAGCTTAAACATCACATGGTTTCTCTTATAGGTGAGATCTTTGTCAAAAGGGAAGAGGGTCAAGAGATGGGGGCCAGGAGGGAAAGGAAGGGGGTGCACAAAGGAACTGAGGAGTGTTTTACGCGAGTGCCGACTGCACACTAGGAGTGTAATCACTGTGTACTGCAGACATGTACTAAGAAACGACTTTCAAAGTCTTCCGAGGGCTTCAGCACAGCTCAGTGACCAGCGGGTGCCTAGCTCCTGCCAGGCCCCGGGTTCCAGGCCCGAACTGAACAAAAACTTCTTCCAGGTGAGGACAGCGCCTGGAGGGAGCGGCCCTGGGAGGGAGGCCGGAGGCGCAGGGACGCACCCAGCTCTGGGGCCTCGGGCCGGCGGGCTGCTGCGGGGGGCGTCGGCGGGGACCCAGGTCCCAGGAGGACCCCAGCCGGCACTGGGTGAGGGCGGCCCCGAGGCGTCCCGCTCTCACTCGCTTCGCCCAAGGGCGTGGGTGGCTCGGCGGCCTCCGGGGGGCGTCCGCGGCGCCGCGCTCCGCGCGCCGTGCTCCTCTGGCTCCTCCAGGCCAGCTCTTTGTGCCGTTTTGGCGCGAAGGCTCTCCGTGCAGGGAACTACATCTCCCACGAGGGCCCGCCCCAGACTTCCGTTCTCGCGCGGCCAGCCCGCGGCGCAGTGCGCATGTCCCCTCCACGCCTGCCGAGCTCGAACCAGAGCGCTCCACCCCGCGCACGCGCAGACCGCAACCCGCTACTCCGGAGTTGAGGCGTAGATTTGGCGGCTCATTTTAGCGAGAAAGCCTAACAGTAGCTGCAGCCGGGTGAGTGCGGGCTGAGGGCGGGCTGGACGGCTGCATGCTAGGCCCGGGCGCGGCGGCCCCCCGAGGGGAGCAGGGCGGGGCCTCGTGACCCGGGGGGGGGGAGGGATCGGACTTCCAGCGGCCGATCGTGCCCCTGGGACCCGGTTCCTCGTTGCTACGCGACCGGGGGTGGCGTTGCTAGGTAACGGGAGGCGCGGGGTTCCCCACGTGGAGGTTGCACGTGCTGCCGGAGTCTGCGGGGCGCGGGCCGGGCAGGCGCTGAACCCCGACCCCGCACCTAGCCCTCCGACCCAACTGTCCGCCCGCCCTCCCGCTAGCGCTGGGCGGGACTGCTGTCCGAAAGAGCACCTGCCCGGCGCCGGCCTGCCCTGCGCCACAGCTGTCGGGGGCTCGGCAGGCCGCCCGGACCTCCCAGGACGCCGGCTTCAGTCCGCTTTCACCCAGTCCAGCTTCTCGGTGGCCGCCTTCATTTGCATCTGCTGTTAAAATAACGGATCTTTTCCCACCTTCCTCTCCGTGTCTATGTCTCGCATTCGTGGCTTCTTGCCGGGCCTCTGATACTCATCTACCAAGCATTTATTAGTCATCGCTCTTCTGTCCCTGGGCTGAGGATTCTAAGGAAAGTCATGGGTCGGGCCTGCCTGCCAGGTGCGGGTACAGTGGCACACGTGTAGGCTGAGACCTTTCACAGCAGTTTACAAAGTGTTTGCAGAAACATCTTGACTCTGCGGCAACCTGTAACCTGGCTTCACCCCATTTTACATTTGAGGAGACTGAAACTCAGCTTAAGTAACACAGAGATAGTGGCTTAAACCGGCATGATAGTGTACACTGCAATCGCAGCACTTGGCAGGCTGAAGCAGGAAGATCTCCAGTGTGAGACCAGCTTGAACTACATAGCTAGTCCCTGTGTCAAAAACAAAACGAAAAGAGGTAGTGGCTTTTCATTTGTGGGTGCATGGAGCCTGCAGCGGACGTCTGTGGTCCTCTGCACTGCGGCCCTTTGTCTGGAGTACACTGTCCCCCCGGGCTGCTGGCCATTTATGGCAGCTGTCTGGCTGTGTGTCACGGATCCCTGGGGAGCTCCTCTCTAGGGGACAGCGAGTGAGCCCCCCCTCCCCCGGGCAGCCCCAGCCTGTGGTGATGCACAGCCTGAAAGGGAAGAGGGCCGGGCGTTGGCAGGGCTCCTGAGCTCGGCCTCGCCCCACCCTGGCAGCAGACCACAGCTGACCTGCAGTGCAGGAGCTCCGCCAGGGTGAGGAAGGCAGTTCCCAGCCCAGCCTCAGCTCCTGAGCAGAAGTGGCAGGGCTTGGCCCTCTGCTTCGTCCTCTCAGACTCCTGGCGTGCAGCACCCTGACCTGGTAGGGGTCTCCCTGGACTTCCAGTGGCCTCCCACTCTGTTGCTGTTTGGCAGAACTTTAAGGCTCTTGTGGGTAGGGACCGAGCCTTATGAGGCCCTGCGAGGTATGGGACAGGCAGAAGGGTGAGACCGGGCCTTGAATCAAGTCACCATCTGCTGTGTGACCCGGGGTAGTCACTGGGCCTCTCCGAGCCACACTGAGTGGAGTGGAGTGGAGGGGGCAGTAACTCAAGACAGTTGTAAGAGTTAAGTGGGATAGCGAAATCATCAGCACTTTGTAACTAGAGAGCAGCACACAAAGTTTTACATATACAATAAATAAAGTCTTACTGTCTGGTGCCTACTGTTTGAGGTCAGGCACTGTAGGAGGCAAGGAAGTACAAGGCATCTGCCTCTCAGAGGCTGAGACTGACTCAGCTCCTATCGTGACCTTTTTCTTTAATAAAGGGCATGAAGGCAGGCATGATGTCGCATGCCTGTGATCCCAGCACTCTGGGAGGCTGAGGCAGGCGGATTGCAAGTTCAACTCCAGCCTGGGCAACTCAGCAAGACCCTGTCTTAAAAACTAAAAGAGCTGGGGGTGTAGCTCAGTACCAAGGCCCTGGGTTTAATCCTCAGTACTGCCAACAAACAAAAACAGATTCGATTAGGCCGAAGTGAGGAGACACAGTGGTGGGTCAGCGGCCACTGCCGGAGCTTGGCCTGGAAGAAGTGAGAAGGAATCCTGTTCAGAACAGCTTGAAGAAATGGACCAGCCGGTCATCCCATGCGCTCATTATGTCCAAAGGGCACCCTCCAGCACCCTGTTGGACTTGGCTGTGGTGCGTCAGAGGGGCACCTGGCAGAGCTGTGGGGAGTCTATTTCAGGTCCCCCCGCTCAGGGCAGATGGCCACCTGGAGGCTGAGGGGGCACAGGATGAGGGGGCGCCCACATCACCCTGACCTAGGGAGGAGGAGGCGACATCCGATTCCTCCAGGTGGGGTCCCTGGGATACAGGATCCAGCCCAGGACGGCAGCCCTGCTCTGCAAGTCCTGGCATGATTGTGACCCATGGCACTGGCGGGCGGGAGCCATCTGCTCACCTTTGCCAGAGAGAGGAGGCCTTCCCTGCCTTCAGCCCGGCCATGAGTCCACAGGGACTGCAGTCCCAGCCTGCTTGACCCTGCAGGCCAGCAGCAGGGCAGCTGCCTCTGCGGCAGATGGTGCCCTGTGCCCTGAATGTCATATTTTTAGAAGCCTTTTTTTGGAGCCGTTTCCTTCCCAGTAAGCAAGAGTGCGAACACCCTTCTCGTCCCTCTCCGCCCTCGCCATGGCTGCAGATTTCTGGCTGAGGGCCTTGGTGAGTGCAGACTCTTGGAACCCTCCTACCGCCTAGCCTCATCTGAGCCTCTGATGGTCAGCCTGGTCCTGGAAACTCCCAGGAGCCCTGAGCCATTTCTCACCTGGGAGAGGACAGGATTTGCCGGTGCTGTCTGACCAGGATGGCTTCGCCTGCAAACATTCTCCTTGGGAATACTGCTGCCTCCAAGATTTGGTGCTTGTTGGGTCTTAACTTGTCTCCGGCATCGGTTTACAGACGGATCAGAGGACCAGGTGCTGAGGCGGAGCCGCCAGTAACCCAGCGAGATGACTGGTGCAGGCCCAGTTTATTCTGTGCTAATTTTTTTTTTTTTTTTTGGTACCAGGGATTGAACTTGGGACCTTCCGCTTGTGAGGCAGGCGGCGGAACCACTGAGCTACATCCCTGGCCCTGGCCTGTTTAGTCTGGCTCCTGAATCACTTCTGAGGCCTCAGTTGCACCTGGAGTCCCTCCTGGTCTCCCCTTCCTACTTCTAGTCCCCCACCTTCTCCTTGTGGCTGTGGGGTTCCGTGAGGCAGGCAGTTTGGGCAGGACCAGCCAGCCTTTATTACTCAGTGTCTCTCCTTTAGGGCTTTGCCTATGTAAGGGACTGGAGCTGAGCTGGTCCTGTGGTCCTTGTCGTGTCGTGGTTGTGTTACTGTACTGCAGGTTACGGTGCGTGTGCGTGCTGCAGTTTCCAGGCACACTTCCTAGTGCAGAACTTCCACGCCCTAGGTAGTTGGCTCCTAAGTACCTAGAGCAGTGAGGGTGCCCTTTGTCAAAGGTGGCCGCTCCAACTACAGTGTCTTCTGAAGATGAAGAAACAGCTTTTATTTGGAACAGGCCTCAGACACGCCTGGCTCTGTGGGGGCAGCTGCGCGGGGATCCCTGGCTGCCCAGGCTGCGCTCTGGCCAGGAACCCGCGCTGTGCGGGTTTGGAGGACGGGCGCTGAGGGACAGCATGAACCTTGTCAGAGAGCCCCCAGTGGCCGGTGAGGGTGGCGCGCCTGGGGGGAGTCAGGAGGCCCTGACCACCTTCCCCTTTGGGTTCCTCGGAGTCGGAAGGGTAAACAGCAAACCCGCATGTTTGCCTGAATTCTGGTGCCACCCTAGCGAGTGAAGGGAGTGAGAGGCGGGCAGTGGGAGGTGGGCACCATGGGACAGCCAGGGCTATGGCGAGTGTCAAGGGGGGCATCGCTGGCTTTGGAGCCATGCCTGCGGCTCCGGACGCTGCCTCTGGGCAGGTGGGCAGCCGGGGGTATCCCCACAGGGCCCGCTCCCTCCTGTCACCGAGGCTGTCTGGAGGTGGAGTGACAGCAGGACGACTGAGCTGGTCTTTCCTGTCCTAGGGGTGGCGCTCAGCTCTGTGCAGTGCAATGGTTGGGGGCTTCTGTCTAAGCCATGGCAGCCGGGTTGAGACCCTTGCTTTCCTGACCCCAGCGAGGGCTGAAGCTTGGTGGCCTGGCCCAGGCGTAGCCGGCTCCCCACCTCTTGGCTGCACAGAGCAGAGGAGGAGTGGGCCATGCACTGCCTCAGCCTGCTGAGCACGGCTCTCAGCATGTGGGGCTGTCCTGCTGTCTCGGGTTGTTTTGCATTCGTTTTATTTTAAGTAGATATTAAGCTCTGGCACAAAGCCTGAGCGAGTTGTAATTCTCAGGGCTGTAGCCTGTGAAGGTGTTCGGGACTGGAGTAAACCTCAGGGGGCTCCTCTTGGCCGTCAGGCCTGGTCTGGCGCGCGCCAGCTGACTAACACTAACTGGAGTGGAGAGAGGTGCCCTCCAGGCGGCACTGTGCGCAGCTCTCCTCAGCGGCACAGCCCTGGCCTCGGGTGCAGGGGATCAGGGCTCGGGGACCAGCTGACCGCAGCTGCCCGCTCTCCCTCAGACCAGGCCATGGCGGGCCCAGGCAGCCATCCAGTGCGGGCCACGCACCTGCTCGGAGCCACCCTGGCGGCCCTCGTGGCCCTGGCCCTCCTCCACTCGGTGTCTTCCCAGCCTCACCGGGACTTCGCACCGCCAGGCCAGCAGAAGAAGGAGGCCTCTGCCGACCCCCTGACGCAGCTCGGGCGCGCGCTGCGGGGGACGCTGGACAGCTGGCTGGGCCGGGAGACCATGCACTTGGTCTCAGAGGTGAGATAGGCCCTGCGTGGCAGTGCACATGGAGGACAGAGGAAAGAGGGGGTCTTTAGCGTGGCACTGGGTCCTCTGAGGTGGGACCCCAGAGCCCCAGATTCCTCACCAAGCAGCCTTTTGGCCCCACCTGTCACTGCCGGGCCAGGTCGGGTGGGAGGAGACCAGACCCGCCTGTCCGCCTGTAGAGGCCATGCAGCTGGTGGCCAGCCTGGGACTTGGAGCCATGAGGTTGCCGAGAAGGCTGAGGCAGCCTACAGCTCAGCTACAGGCTCCTTGGGGCACACCCTCTGGTCTCCTGTACATGTGTCCTCCTCCTCCTCCTCCCTGAGTCCCCAGCTTTGCAGGGTGACCCCTGAAGGGACACAGCTGTGCTCACCACTGCTTCCCAGTGTCACAGCTGTGGACCGGGTCGGGTCCCCTGAGTCTTGCTGTCCTGCTGCGGAGGGGAAGCAGTGTCCGTCCTGTGCACGGTGGAACGTGGTGGGGCCTCACTGGTCAGCCCAGGCTCCTCTGTGACCCAGCCCCGAGCCGGGCTGAGAAGCAGGTTGCACCTCTCCAGGCCAGCCCGGTTCCCCCGGCTCTGCTCCGCTCACTCGAGCTCTTTCCGCAGACCCTGTCACAGGTGGCGTGGGCCATCTCCTCGGCCATCTCAGTGGCCTTCTTTGCAGTGTCTGGGATCGCAGCTCAGCTGCTGAACGCCCTGGGGCTGGACGGTGAGTGAACAGACTGGTCGGGCCCCTTTCTGTCCTGGGAGCTCGACTCTGGCAGGGTCTCCTGGTCCTGGCGGTCCTGTCCCAGAGGCGTGGCCCAAGAGAGAGCAAGCTCCAACCACCACCTGTGGGAGCCAGGTGCTTACCGCACGTGGGCCTCGCTGAGCCCCAGCGGCTCATTATGGTTAACCACAGCCCTGAGGGTGGGTTGCTGTCTCACAGTGGAGCCGGGCTCCCTAGAGCTCCCGCCGCGGTCCAGGCTCTGGCTCTGGTCTCTCACCTGCCTGCTCCTCAGTTGCTGACGGCCGCTGTCCCTCCCAGGAGATCACCTCACCCAGGGCTTGAAGCTGAGCCCCAGCCAGGTGCAGACCTTCCTGCTGTGGGGTGCGGGGTCCCTGGCCGTCTACTGGCTGCTGTCTCTGCTCCTCGGCCTGCTCCTGGCCTTGCTGGGCCGCATCCTGGGCGGCCTGAAGCTCGTCGTGTTCCTGGCTGGCTTCGTGGCCCTGGTGAGGTCGGTGCCCGAGCCTTCCATGCGGGCGCTGCTGCTGCTGGCCCTGCTGACCCTCTACGCCCTGCTGAGCCGCCTCACGGGCTCGCGGGCCTCCGGCGCCCGGCTGGAGGCCAAGGTGCGCGGGCTGGAGCGCCAGGTGGAGGAGCTGCGCTGGCGGCAGAAGCGAGTGGCCAGGGCGCCCCGCGGCGTGGAGGAAGAGTGACGGCCCTGCAGCCCCGCCTCCGCCACACCAAAGAGCTGAGGTGCTTCTGGGCCGCCCGGCCCCCTACAGCCCCTTCCCTTCCTTGCTAGCACCTCGTCCATGCCCCTGCCCCCAGCCAAGGGGCCCCTTGGCTTCCTGCCGTCCATGGGGCGGGTGTGCAGCTGGGCTTCAGCTGCCAGCTCTGGCCCTGGCCTCCCGTGACCTGCCGCTCTCCTGTTGGCCCCCCGAGCTCCGCTCTGCCCCGCTCCACCTGCCTTGCTGTCGCCCAGCCTGGAGAGCACCACCCGCCCTCCCGGCCTTGGCCAGCAGGGGAAGAGCCTGGGCAGGCCCGGAGGGTTGGGCGATGCGCCCCGAGTGTTCCAAGTGCCTTAATCAGCGCTGCTGCCCCGGCGTAGCGGGAGTGCACTGTGGCTGCCATCCGCGTGAGCAGGGCACCTTCCTTGTCACCCAGAGCGGCCGCAGGACTCGCCCTGTGGGGAGCTCAGACCCAGGAGACAGGACAGCTTCCTGCTCCACACTGCCCAGCCTTGCCGCTGAGCAAGACCGGAGCAGGGCGGCCAGCCGTACTCCGAGGCCAGGGTCCTGCCCTTCCTGCCTCTGGGGCCCAGAGGCAGGGAGAGGTGCCTCTGCCGGGCCTGGCACCCAAAGGAATAAATGCCCAATTCTGACTGCTAAGGTTTGATGTGAAATCACAGCTGCGGTGATACCTATTTTTATCAGTGCTTGGTTGATTTTGAATAAAGTGCACGCTATTTTATTATCTTGTCTGAATAAAGTCTGTTTACTCAGAGTTTGGGCTGCTGCAATGTCCCCGCCCCTCCCAGGCCCTGTGGGGCAGTCAGTCCTCCTCCCCTGCTGGCCCCTGCCAGGTGCCACCTGCCAGGTTCCCACCCGGGTCCGCAGGTGGGGATGGCTTTGTTACAGCTGTCTGTACAGGGGAAGCCGGCGTGCAGCCAGGTCTGCCCGCCGGGTCGCTGCCCTGGCCGACAGCGCCAGAGGCCGGTGCCCGGGCCCTTCGGGGGGCGGCCCAGGGACCTGTGGTCGGGCCCCCCGGCCCTTCTGCTCCCGCAGCTCTACCCCCGTGTCCCCAGCCTGATTGCTGCCTGTGCCGGGGAGCCGCGCGGGGCCGCCTCTCGGAGCTCCGAGCGGCCGCGCGCTCCGCGTTCCCGGCAGGGGGCAGTCCTCGGCCCAGCCTCCCAGCGGCCCCTTCCCGCCCGCCGCCCGCCCTCCCGCTTCGGCGGCGCTAGGACCCGGTAAGTGAGGGCGGCTGCCCGCGCTCCATTGTCTGGAGCGGCGCGGGGTCGGGACGACGCGTGCCGGAGCGGAGGGACCTGAGGGACCGGGAGGGACGGACGGCCTCGCCGAGGACCCGAGCGAGCGCAGCCGCGGCGGCGGGAGATGCGGGCCACGGCGCCCTGAGCGCAAGCACCGAGTACCGTGCACCGAGCACCGATGGCGGGGCCGCGCGGCACCGCGCTCTGCCTCCTGGTGGCCCTGGCTCTGGACGCCTTCCGAGGTCAGCGGGGACTCGACAGGCGGGCAGGTCGCGGGCCGGCCGTTTCCGCCGCAGCCCCGGACCGCAGTCCTGCTGCGCGAGTGACCCTCCGTCGTCGCCCCCACGATCCCCTGCCCATCCCCTCCCGGGCCCCCTTCACTGACCCCTTCTCTGAAGTCCCCTCCAGCCGACTCGGCTGCCCTGCTCCTGGAGGCACCGTGTCCCCTTCCTGGCCCCTCCTGGCCCCGGGCGCAGCTCTCTGGGTCGGAGCCTCTGTCCCCATCATCCCCCGCCCCCCTGCCCTGCCACCCAAGGAGCAAGCAACCCTTTTGCTGGGGACCACGGGACAGCACCCTGCCACCGGGCTCCTGACCCTGGCTCTTGCCCCTCTGCGCCTGCCCCAGGCTGCAGGTGAAGGGCGCCCCACTGTCTGCAGAGCTGAGCTCCCTGCGGCGAGGCCTGGTCCGGCTGGAGAGGCCTTGTAATTATAGAGCTGAGGAGCAGGAGTGGAAGGAGTCCCTCAGCTGACACCCTTGGGGACTCTCAGACACCAGCTTCCAGTGGGAAGGGCTGGGGAGGGTGGGCCAGCGCTGCATGGCCAGGGCAGCTGGGGGCGGAGGGACCACCCCCAGGCAGCAGCCCCCTAAATGCCTGCTCCACGGGTGCCAGTCCTGAGGCCCAGGACCATCACTGGCCCAGGGCCCAGAGGCGGAGCCAGGACTCAGCCCAGCCCCCAGGCCCCCAGGGTGGAGGAAGATGGCCAGGCTGGTGGTCGGTAACCTGGAGGGCAGCCTTGGGGAGGAGCAGGTGGGGTGGAGCCAGGGACACGGGAGATGCGCTCCCAGCACCTCTGCCCCGAAGCTTGGGGACTGGGTGGGACCTTAGCCTCTGCCCCACCTCGTAATCCACCCGGTGGGTTTCCAGGGATGGCCCCTGGTCCTCAGTTACTATGGACCTGGAAGAATTAAGGCAGGTGAATAGTCCACCTGGCATGTACATATGGCTAGCGTGCAAAACAGTTGTTATTATGAGGGCCAATATGACTGTGTATTATTTTATTTTTAGTCCTTAGCTTTTTGAGATGGGGACTTGCTGTATAGTCAAGGCTGGCCTTGTCACTCAAAGCCTTGAACTCAAAGTGATCCCCCTGCCTCGGCCTCCCCATGCTTGGATTTCAGGCCTGGACCCCTACCCCACCATGGCAGCCAGTGCAGGCCTGTCCTTTGGCGATGGGCTGCTCTGGGTCTGGCCCAGGGCTCCACCCACCCCAGGGCCTGTGCAGCCTCCCAGACCTCTTTGGCACTGCTCGGGAGCTTGGGGAGACTCTGGGTTGCCATGATAATGAGGTGGCAGGGAAGGAGTCTGTCCCAGGAAAGCCCCTCCACACTGTTGTGGGGAAAGTCGTGCCCCAGAGCAGAGGCCGAGGGAACACTGGGGTCTCCACCAGAGGGGGGGCCCAGGTCTGACACCTACCCAATGTGGCTTTGTCACCTGCTGCCTGTGGGAGGCTCTGCCAGCCTCAGTTTCTCTGTGTGAGACCCTGTGGTGGGCCCTCCCCACGCGCACACCGCACACCAGTGCACTGCTGTGCCCAGGGTGGAGCCAGCTTCAGCCCTGCGGGCTCTGGAGCCATCACCGCTTCCGCCCTCCCCCTCCCCCAGTGCATGGTGACCTGGACACCGCTGTCTACCTGCCTGCTGCCCTGGAGCTCCTGGATGCCCCCGAGCACTTCCTTGTGCAGCGGGCCAGCCACTATGCCCCTGCCAACTCCTCTCTGGGCTCCCGATCTGAGACCTTCCTGCTTCTGCACCCCTGGCCCAGGGCCCAGCCACTCCTCCGGGCCTCCTACCCGCCTTTTGCCACCCAGCAGGTAGGGAGTGTCCCGCGGGCTCTGGGGGCGCGGGGTGGGACAGGGGCTCCCCCTCCTAAATCTCCTCCCTCCTTCAGGTCGTGCCCCCTCGGGCCACCGAGCCCCCTCAGCGGCCAGTCCCGTGGGATGTGCGGGCTGTTTCCGTGGAAGCGGCCGTGACCCCAGCGGAGCCCCATGCCCGCGTGGTCTTCCACCTCAGAGGGCAGGACTGGCCGCCCGGGCCTAGCAGCCTGCCCTGTGCCCGGCTGTATGCCACGCACCCTGCAGGCACCACCCAGCGCGCCTGCCGCTTCCAGGTGAGTGGGCGGCCGGGGCGGTGTCCAGTGCCAGTCCTGGAAAGGGTCCTCTAGGGTCCACTGTGGAAGCTGGGCACAGTGTCTTCAGGAGTGGTGAACGGGGCCGAGCGAGGGCTACATGAGGAACCCCGAGGAACCCTGGGGCAGAGTGCTCAGCCCTGCTACCGCTGTCTCGGGCTGGCGTGGGGCAGGCTCTGGCCCTGCTCGAGCTCTGGAGTCTCGGAGGACACTGGGGTCCTGGCCGGGTGAGGCCGGGTGAGCACCAGGCTCTGCTTGTCCCCAGTTCGTGTGGGCCCCGTCGCTTCTGCCGGGACCTCAACACCTTCTCTGTCCCCACAGCCCGCCCTGGGCGCCTGTGCGGTGGAGCTTGCGCTGCCTGCACCCTGGTTTTCCGGGGGCGCCCCCTCGCGGGCCGAGCTGGCCTACGCGCTGGAGCCCGCCACCGAGGGCCCCGGGGGCTGTGCGCCGGGCCGGGACGAGGACCTGGGGCAGCGGGCCCTCCCGGTGGGGAGCGTGGAGCTGCGCCCCGAGGACCCCCCCCAGCACCGGGAGGTGCCCCTGGATGAGGCGGTGACCCTACGGGTGCCCGACGCGCCCGTTCGGCCTGGCCAGCCGTTCACCTCCACGCTCCTGCTGCAACGCAACTTCACAGCCAGCGACCTGACGCTGCGGTGAGCACGGGCCTGGGCGGGTGGGGACCCTGCAAGCGGCGAGCGGTGCCCTGGGACCCCACGATGGGCACCCCAGGGCCCCGTCCCACGGGGCTGACGGGGACCCGAAGCTCAGCGGCCGGGGCTGCTGTCACGCTGCGGAGTGGGCGTCTGCCCCGCCCCTGCATCCCCGCCCCTATATCCCCGCCCTGCTGTGCGGCCCGCCTCGCCCAGCCCAGGCCCTGCCTCCCTGCAGGACACCCCACCCCCACCCCGCCCACCGACGGGACCGCCGGGTGCCTGCTCCCCGCTGCGGCTTTGTGCACTCCTGCCTGCCTGTGCGTCCTGGTCCTGGCACCCTCCTGTCCTCACGGGGACACTGGTGAACAGGCTGTGCGTGGACACAGCAGGCCGGGCCCGTGTCTGCGCCGAGGCAGAGAGGAGCAGCGCCAGGCCCATCGGGCACTGGCGGCACCGTGGCAGGGAGCTGCTGGGCAGGAGAGCTGGGCACAGGGGACCCCACGCGTCCGGGAGGATCAGAGAGCAGAAGGCCAGGGCGGCCCAGGCCAGCAGGGCTCAGAGCCGCGTGTGCACCGAGTGTCGGGGACGGGGGGTGGGGTGGGGGCAGGGGTGGGCGGGTGATGTCACAGCCTGAGTGAGGGGCCAGCCCGAGGACCTCAGAGGCTGAGCAAGGCTGAGCCCACACTGGCAGAGACTGGGCAGCAGCCTTGGGCAGGCCCGTGGGCCTCTCAGACCCAGGTCCCCACCCTGTCCGGATCCGGCCGGGCTCAGCCCGTGTGACAGACCGCCTTCCCCAGGGTCAAGGTGAAGAAGGGGCTGCAGGTGACGGCTGCCCGCCCAGTGCAGCCTGCGCTCTGGACGGCCAAGCTGGACCGCGTCAGGGGCTCCAAGCATCACAGCACCCTCATCACCTGCCACCGTGCAGAGTTTGCCGGGCCCGACCCCAGGTGGGCAGGCAGGGAGGGCACTCCGGTGCTCGAGGGCAGGAGGGGCAGCACACAGCGGTGTATGATCACCCACAGCCGGGTCCGAGTCTCGCTGCAGCTGAGGCCATCTGCTCCCCACCCCACGACAGCTCTCGGGGCCACTGCCCACTGCACCCCACCGACCCAGCCCTTTTGCCAGGGCCAATAATATTCCCCAGAAATCTCCCTGCAGCGGTTCATGGGTATGAACTCCTCTTGTTGGGCCAAGGCCAGAGGCCTTTGTCGTGCGCATCTGGACCCTGGTCCCAGTATCTTCTGGACATGTGCCTTGGACAGGCCAGCTAGCCTGTCCCCACTCCAGCCCCAGTTTCTCCTCCTATAAGTGAGGGTAATAACACATCCCTTAGGGTGGGTTGAAATAAAACACAGTCCTGTATCAAGCACCCAGGGCAGTCCCTGGCACATAGATGTTTGGCCAAGGGGGATCTGAAGCTGGGTATAGTTTCGCATGCCTGTCATCCCAGCAGTCTGGGAGGCGGAAGCAGAGAATCCCAAGTTCGAGCCCAGCTTGGCAAGTGAGCAAGACCCAGTCTCAAAATGAAAACCAAGAAAAGGGCTGGGGATGTCGCTCAATACAAGGCCCTGGGCTCCTTCCCCAGCACCACAAACCAAGGAGAGGTGGCCATGAGGGTTCTCATTCAAAAAGGGCCAACTGGCCGTGGGGCTTGGCGGGCACTCTCTCGTGCTGGAAGGTGGCACCAGTTGCCAGTGGCCTGGACAGCAGCGGTCCGAGTGGGGCTGTCCATGCCAGCCTCTGCGCTGGTCTCCCTCAGTCCTCTGTCCTGGCAGCAGCGTCCCCGAGCCGTCCGAGTTCCTCTGGGTGGACTTCCTGGTGGAGAACAGCACCGGTGGGGGTGTGGTGGTCACGCGGGCCGTCACCTGGCAGCTGGAGTACCCGGGCCAGGCCCCCGCCGCAGAGAAGGACAAGATGGTGTGGGAGATCCTGGTGTCCGAGCGGGACATCAGGGCGCTCGTCCCGCTAGCCAAGGTAAGGGCGTGCGTCCCTCGGTCCAGGCAGCCGGTGAGGCCCGGACCGACGTCTGTCTCTGCCCACAGGCTGAGGAGCTGGTGAACACCGCTCTGCTGACTGGACAGCCCGGCCACGTCCCCGTGCGCCTGGTCACCATGGACGCAGGGGGCGTCCTGGCCGAGGTGACGGAGCACATTGGCTGCAAGTCGGCCGACACCCAGGTCCTGCAGGTGAGGACGACAGAAGGGCGCAGTGTCCCCTTCCCCGGGGACCCAAGACAGCAGCTGGTCACCCACAAACCTCCCAGGTGGAAGAACCAGGCTGCCGCCCCAGTGAGCCCAGGCCTGCAGGGTGACCTAGGACCCGACCAGTGGCTCCCGGGCCACCCGGGGAGGCTCCCACCTCCCTGCCTCCGTCTCCAGGTCTCTGAGGCCTGTGACGCGCTATTCGTGGCCGGCACCGAGAGCCGGGGCGCCAAGGGGGTGCGCGTGGACTTCTGGTGGCGTCGGCTCCGCGCCTCGCTGCGGCTGACAGTGTGGGCCCCGCTGCTGCCTCTGCGCATCGACCTGACCGACGCCACCCTGGAGCAGGTCCGCGGCTGGAGGGTCCCCGGGCCCGCCGACGGGTGAGTGGCCCGGGCCCTACCCCCGTCCCTCTGCCCGCCGGAAGAGTCCCCCTCAGAGCCTGAGCGGCCAGAGCTGGCAACACACCGCGGGGCGCAGGCCTGAGGGTCGGCCGGTCCCCCACGCACCTTCCCGCGGACCTGGGGCTGGGGGCGGGGCCTGGGGCGGGGCCGCTGACGCCCCGCCCCCGCAGCACGCAGGAGCCCGAGCCCGCGGAGGAGGCGGAGCGGCGCCCCCGGGGCTGCCGCCTGCTTTACCAGCGCGCAGGCGTGCGCGTCCTCGCGCCCTTTGCCGCGCACGCGCAGGACGGCGGCCGCCTCACGCACCTGCTGGGCCCCGACTGGCTGCTGGACGTGACCCACCTGGTGGCGCCGCACGCCCGTGTGCAGGACCCGCGCGTGGCCTCGCTGGAGGGCGGCCGCGTGCTCGTGGGCCGGGAGCCGGGTGTCACGGCGATCGAGGTGAGCAGGAGAGGCCGCACCGCTCCCCGCGGGCCAGCGGTGGGGGTGGAGAGTGGGGAGCGCGCCCCACACCCCGGTGAGCGCTCCTCGAGGCCCCTCTCCCCGCCCTCCCAGGTGCGGTCCCCGCTGTCCGACGCCATCCTCGGGGAGCAGGCGCTGGCCGTCACGGACGACAAGGTCTCCGTGCTGGACCTGCGGGTGCAGCCTGTGATGGGCATCGCGCTGGCCCTGAGCCGGGGCACTGCCCACCCTGGGGAGGTCACGGCCACGTGCTGGGCACAGTCAGCCCCGCCCGCCCCAAAGCAGGTGATGGCCGCGGCCGGGGGCTGAGGCGACCCAGCTGTGGGAGCAGGGCGGGCGGAGGGCGCTGGGCCCCTGGCCTGAGGGCGTTCAGGAGGAGCACGCTTCCGGGAGGTCAGGAGCTCCCTGCAGAGCGAGGTGACCCAGCAGCCGGGCCGGTGGTGGTGGGAGGCTGGCTCTGACCGAGGACCCCCGAGAACGGAGCCCGGGCGGGTGGCAGACAGGTGACTGACACGCGTCCCTCTCTCCCCGTGTCCTGTCCTCCTGTCCTCCGCCTGTGTACCGTGCTCCCCTCCGTCCGTGTGCCTGTCTCTGTGGGAGTGGTCCCCTGTGCATGCCTGCGTGCCCTCGCGTGTCTGCCTGTGTCCGTGTCCCGCAGGAGGTGGCCCTGTCCTTGTGGCTGTCCTTCTCTGACCGCACCATGGCCCCCGCCGAGCTCTACGACCGCCGTGACCTGGGGCTGTCCATCTCGGCCGAGGAGCCCGGCGCCGTCCTGCCCGCCACAGAGCGAGGCACCCAGCTCGGGGTGGTGGTGAGTGGGTCAGGCACCGAGGCGCTGCCCCTGCACGTGGCTCTGTACCCGCCTGAGCCCTGCCGCCGCGGCCGTCACCAAGTGCCCCTGGCTTCCAGCACTGCCTGGCTGGGGCTGCCCCCCACACCCATGCCGGCACCTGCCCTGCCACCGAGCCCGACCTGGAGCCCACTGGCCACCGAGGCCAGCGTGGGTGGCAGGCGGCGGGCAGCAGGCAGTGTGGATGTGAGGGGCAAGTTCGAGCAGGCGGGAGAGGACAGCAAGGCCAGGGGGGAGGACAAGGACGAGGACGAGGAGGAGGAGGAGGAGGAGATGGTGCCTGCCCCGCAGCGCGTCACAGACCTGGAGCTGGGCATGTACGCCCTGCTGGGCGTATTCTGCTTGGCCATCCTCATCTTCCTGGTCAACGGCGTGGTCTTCGTGCTGCGCTACCAGCGCAAGGAGCCCCCCGATGGCGCTGCCGACCCTGCCTCCCCGCAGCCCCACAACTGGGTGTGGCTGGGCACCGATCAGGAGGAGCTGAGCCGCCAGCTGGACCGCGGGGCCCCCGAGCTGCCCGGGGCAGAGGGCAGCTGCCCCTGCGGAAGCGGGGTTGCGGGGGAGCCCCAAGCCCCCGCACCCGGCCTGCCCGGGGACACCCCTGGCTCCTCTAGCACCCTGGCCCGCAAGGAAGTGGGGGGACGGCGCAGGCGTGTGGAGTTTGTGACATTCGCCCCGGTGCCCCCAGCCCCACTGCCCGAGGAGCCTGCAGGGCCCCCCACGGTGCAGTCCATCCTGGTGGCAGGCGAGGAGGACATCCGCTGGGTGTGCGAGGACATGGGGCTGAAGGACCCCGAGGAGCTTCGCAATTATATGGAGCGGATCCGGGGCAGCTCCTGACCCGTCCTGGCCGGCCAGGCCTGTGTCCCCCGTGGGCCAGCAGCCAGCATGGCATGGGGTCCCGGTAGCCTCCTGTCTCGCCCCACTCATCCTCTGGTGCTTGTTGACCCACCCGTCCCTGTCTGGTCCCCGCCCTGCCCCTTGTATGGACCTCGGTCCAGAAGAGCTTCTGCCCCTTATTTATGGGACCCGAGGCGTTCCACGTCGGGTACGGAATAAACCAGAAAAGTGCCATGAGGGGCCCTGCTGTCTGTGTCCAGGGCGGGTGGCAGGGGCGAAGTCAGCCCCTGCCTGGGTGTGGGCCATGTGGCGAGGCCAACTCCTGCCGCGTCCTCTCATAGCGCCTCGAGATGCAGATGAAGAGGATGGCGGTGACGCCCTGGATGCCGGCCAGGAGGAAGAAGTAGAGGTCCAGGCGGCAGCTGTCCGCACTCTCTGGGGGTGGGGGGTGCATTAGGCTGGGCTCTGGGGTTGGGACCCAAGGACCCGGGTTGGCAGAGCCTCGAGCGGCCTCTGGTGTCTCCCCGAGGGCCCTGTTCACCTGGGGCCTGAAGCCAGCACCCGGGCTGACGTGACTGCTCGGCCACAGTGGCCAGAGTTCGTGCTTCCGTGTCCAGGGCTGAGGACCCTGCAGCCCAAGCAGGGCTGCCCACACCGAGGGTGAGGCCAGTCTGGGCTCCCCAGTCCTCCATGGCCAGCCCGCTAGCCCACCATGCCCAGGGACAGCTCACAGCGTGGCCCCCACCGTCCGCCCACCCTCAGGGCTGTGCTCACCAAAGTCCCTGGGGCAGTGCATCCAGCCCCCCGGCAGGGACAGCAGGGCCACCAGGCTGGAGCCCAACAGCGAACCCACGCCCGACAGGCAGAAGAAGATGCCCATGATGGCGCTCTGCATGGTTCGAGGTGCCGCCCCGTAGGCGAACTCCAGGCCTGTGGAGGGGGGCCCAGGGCTCGTGCCCCTCCCTGCCAGTGCACGCCTCACCCCAGAGCTCTGGCCACCCTGCCCGCGCTCCTGTCCCCATCTCAGGGCTGGCACTGTTCCTGCTCTGCCCACTGCCATGGCATTGCCAGGTCACTTCGATTCCACCTCCGACCTCGGTGGCCACCCCTCTCCCGGTCACTTCCTGCTGGCCCGACTCCCGCTCCGTTCACCCTGGCAGAGGGGTGTGTGGGCATCACTGGTGGGTCCTCTCCTGGCCACGCCCTTGAGGGTGGAGGGAGGCACTGCCGTCCTCGCCTCCCTGAGACCCAGGCCCTGGGGGTCCCTCCCCTGTTCCGCAGCCCTGTCCTCAGCTCCCCACTGGCTTGGGGCTTTCCTGCCCCTCAGCGCCTCCCACTTGCTGGACTCTGCCCCCAGCCAGCTGCCCCAGGCCTGTCCCCGCCCTGCTGGGTTAGTCAGGGCCGCCCCTGGCAGGCAGCTTCAGCTCCCAGCGGCGGTGCAGACAGGACAGTGTGTCACAGGGCACGGCGCCCTGTGCAAGGGGCGGCCCGGGCTGAGGGCCTTGACCTTGAGCTTGGGGTTGCTGGGGAAACAGGAGGTGACCTTCGACCTCAGGCGGAGGGCAGCAGCCGAAGACAAGGGAGAGGGGGTCCACACGGGAGGTGTGCAGGGTGGGCGTGGGAGCCCTTGTCACCCAGGCCCTCTGAGCCCTCAGTGGCCGGGGAGGCCGGTGCATGTCAGTGCCCTGGGTGACCACCTCCCCTGACTGGGCCCATACCTGGGATGCTGGCGAAAATCTCACTGATCCCGATGAGCAGGTACTGGGGGATCTGCCACCAGACGGACAGTGGGGCCGCCCAGTGCAGGTCCTCCCCGATCAGCTGCAGTGCTGTCTCATTGCGGTGGACGTACCCTAAGCGCTCCATCTCCAGGACCCCTGCGGGGGAGCCAGGGCCAGGAGCTCAGGGCTCCCCTCCCTGAGGAGCTCAGCCCACATGGAGCTCGCGGGGGTGGGCGCTCCTGAGTGGGCAGAGCCTGGCTGGCGGGGCGTAGCCCTGGGCCACACACTCCTCCTCCCTGAGCCGCGGTCCCAGCCCCCCTGTGACCCAGGCCCGGCAGCGCCCTTGCAGGCCTCCTCTTTTAGTCCGTGTCCACGAGGGCAGCGCCTGGCCCGCTCGGGGTCCGCGTGGCTTGCTGCCCCCACCTTAAAGATGGACACAGAAACCTGAAGTCAACCTCGGGCTCAAAGCCTCTGAGTAGAGAGGGTGCAGGTCTTCACAGTGCCATGAACCCCTTCGTTCAGTTACGTTGTCACTCATTTATTTTTGCGGTGCTGGGGGCAGAACCCCAAGCCTTGCTCACACTAGGCAGCTGCAAACCCTTTGGCAGTGGAAGTGGGAGGAGGTTTCCCGTTGTGACCAAGACCCCTGTGCCTTCAACAACTCCAGTCCCGCACACTGACTTGTGGGATGCTCACGCCTGGCTTTGAGGGGCGCAGACGCCCAGGGAAAGCCCTGCTCCTCAGGTTTCCCTTGTCCTGTGAGCAGCCCAACTCCCCAGCAGGGTCCCCTTCAGTGTGCGCCTCTGCAAGGCCAAGGCTGGCACCCACGGGTGGCGGTGGGCTCTCCCTGCCCAGGCCAGTGCCCAGCTGCCCACACACCTGCAACAACCACAGAGGCGAAGCTGAAGAGCATCCCCAAGGCCATCTTCTGCAGGGCCGAGGGGAGCAGCTCGCAGCGCAGCAGCAGGGGGTCCAGCAGGTGGTCCTTCAGGGGCACCAGGATGAGCACAGCCACCACATTGGCCAGCAGGAGCCAGGCTTCCGGGATCTGCTTGGGAGGAGCCAGGAGCTGGGCTGGGTCCTGGGATCTGACTCCAGAACGTCCCTGAGGCCCAGAGTCAGCCCTGCCCACTCTGGGATCCACACTCCTGGCTGTGACCAGGGCACGGGATCAGATTGGGGTGCAATCGCTGCTTCCTGCCTTCTATCAATCTGTAGTGGCCACTGGGAACATCCAGGCTCAGCATGAATGTGTTGTGATTGATGAGTATGCCTGCCACGGACACAGAAATGAACATTGGGCCCAAATGTCATTTATCTGCCAACCCTGAAGGTCTGGTTTTAGGAGACTCTGCAGTGCGAAGGAGCTGATTTAGGAAGTTCCAGCAGAGGGAAGAAATCGGCCATCCATGGTCCCAGAGGCTGAGCAGGGCCCTGTGGGGCTCCATGAGAGGGGCAGACAGAAGGCCGCCAGAGCCACGTGGCTCATGGGGCTGTTGGGCCCTCGGGCAGCCGAGTGCCTTGGCAGGATGCCTGGGCTATGGCGCTGCATGCCTGCCCTCCCTTCAGGGTGGTTCCCAAGCCCCGCAGCCTGGCAGCAGGGGAGAGGCCCAGCAGGTGTGCTCACCGTGTAGCCACTGCCCCAGGCCCTCAGGGTCATGGACGAATTGGACGAGGCCATGGTGGGGCTGGCAGGGGAAAGGCTGGGGATGTGGAGGTGCAGGCCCTGCAGGACGTAGGTGGACTGCATCTGCCGAGGGAAGGAGAGAGGCTGGGGGGGGCAGGAGGGGAGGCGCCCCTTTGCAGGAGCCCTCACCAGGCCTCGGGAGGCCATCCTGCCCCTCCTCCTCAGGGCTGCGGGCTGTGACACGCCAGGGCCCGCAGCTGGCATGTCAGGGTCAGGCAGTTGCATGTGGGGAGACCATGACAGGGCTGGCCCCTCGGGGAGCTCTCGCCTGCCACGGAGCCATGCTGTGCTCAGCGGGTCACAGCTGGACCCTGCCCGGGGAGGGGTCTGGAGCCCCCAGGCGGGGCCGGCAGGGCACGTTGCCCAGGGGCCACCACTTCCAAGCATGTACCCCGCGTGACTGTCCTGTGTGCTGCATCCGGGGCTCCAGGAAAGCGTGCTGGGAGTCTGAGCCACCTGCTGCCCACATGGAAACTGAGGCCCAGAGAGGGGGGAGTCTGTGGCGGAGCTGGGCCGGGGCCTCTCCAGGGCTCCCCGCTGCCGCCTGCCCCGTCTGCGCACCTGGAAGTACACCATCCAGTAGGGCACCAGGGTCACCATGACAGGCAGGATCTTCACCAGCACCCGGAAGTTGGCGATGTCCTGCGGGGAAGGACCGGGCTGGGGAGCCCTCTGGTCAGGCAGCAGGTGGGCACCCTGGGAGTCTCTGAGAGGCCACAGGGACAGCAGATGGCATCACCCTGCCCCAGGGCCACTGATGCACCGCTACCACTGTCCCTAACTTAGTCCTCCTCAAAGGAGCACCACTCCTCTGCCATCACTGCCTGCTGCCTGGAGCGGGGCCTGGCTGGAAGACGCGGTCACTGGGGGCATGACTGGAGGGGCTCATCTCCCACCAGCTCCGCCCTTCCGCTGTGCTTCCTTTCACCAGGCTCTGAGCTCTTTCTCCCCCGCCAGGCCCTTGTGCCAGGCCGCCCTGCCCTGGAGCCAGCTGACCATGGACTGAAACCCTACAAACCGTGAGCCTAAGTAAACCCCTCCTCCTTTGATCGGCAGGTGCTTATTTGGTCCCAGCAAGGAGGGAGGTCACAGACAGCTGTGGTCCCTTTGGGTCCCGGGGAAGTGAGACCAGAGTGTGGCAAGCAGTCTTGGGGATGGGGGTGTGGCCTCACTTTGCCATGGGAACAGGGCGCCATCAGGGACTCTACACACTGCGTCTCCGTCCTAGAAGGACTTCGGAGCCCTCTCCCTCCGTGTGCAGAGGGGTGGGGGAGGAGTGTCATCGGGAGACTGGGAACATCGGCCGCTGCTGCAGCCTTGCCCCTTGGCCCTTTGTCCTGACTTTCTGATCCCTTCTTGCCTGGGAGCCCTGCACAGTCCCCTTTGAGACAAGACAGGCACCATGTGCAGCAGCCGTGGGTTCCCAGCCAGCCTGTGACTGTGGCCCTGAGGAGCTGGAAGTGATGTGCCAGGACTTCCCGGCCTCTCAGGGGCTCAGGAGACCTCAGCTTTCATGTCCTGTCCTGGGGAGTATTCGTGCTCTCTGCTCTCGAAGTCTGGGCCTCATACTCTGATTGGTTCAGGTCCCAAGGCCTCGAGAAGGGGAGGGCACCAGGGGACCCTAGGTGAACGCTCAGCACACGGCCACCTCCAGCTGCCAGCCAGGTGGGTGAGGGTGCTCCGGGCCTCTCAGGACCCCAGATGGCTGTGGCCTGCAGACAAGACCAGGAGAGCTGCACTGCGAGCCCGGGAACCCACAGGGCTGCGGGGACGGAAAGGCTGCCACAGAGCCAGCAGGCTGTGGTGTGGTATGTTAGGTGGTGGCAGATAATTAAAGGACTCCTTGGCACTGCGCGCTCAAGCAAACGCCAGGTCGGGGAAGCAAGCACTTCGTGTTTTCTACCCATTTCCTGTTAACAGGGTCTGCGCCTGTCCCCAGGGCCTGGGCAGTTTCGAGCGGCGAATGCAGAGCCCTGGGACCCTCCCTCCTCAGATGCCAGCTGGCGGGAGGGCACTGGATGCTGGGTTCAGTCACCCCTGCGGTATGGAAACCTCCACACTCTGTCCCCAGGACCTGGGCTGGGACTGTCACACCCACCATCACCACCTGGCCACCACTGTCACGCCCATTGCCGGCATGTATCTTCAGCGGGTGCCAGCACCGTGTCTCCCACCGATGCCACCGCCGTTGCTGCTAAGACCGCGACGGTTTTCCTAGCCAGAGTGTCCCCAGTGGCACCCAGCACCATCCCCAGTTGCAGTGGCCAGCGAGGGCCCTGGGTGGTGGCCCATGTGGCTAGGCACCGGAGGCTCGACAGCCTCTCACCTGGCAGCGCGTCGGCCCCACAGCCCAGGGCGGCAGCTTCGGAGCGCGAGCTTGAGCATGGAGGACACCTGGCTGCCCCTGGGGGGCTTGGAGATGAAGGCCGGCGTGGTGAAGAGGAAGGTGAAGAAGGCCAGGAGCACACAGCCCAGCAGGACGCTGTAGCCCAGCAGAAAGCTGAGGTTCTGCTGGATGAAGGCCACCACCAGCAGCGTGAACACGGCCCCCACGTTGATGCTCCAGTAGAACCAGTTGAAGAAGCGGCGGGTGGCATCGCGACCGAGCTCCATCACCTGCCAGGGTGGGGCCAGGGAGGTCAGGGTCACTTGCCCGCCCCGCACCCTCCTCCCATGGCCACAGTTCCTGACCCCCATCACGATGCAGACCCTCGACACAGACCTGCCAGGGAGTGAGAAGGAATAACCCTCTCCTGACAGCCACTGTGGAGGGGCAGGACGTTTGGCACCACCGTCTTCCCACCCCGTGGCACACACTGCTTTTTTATTGTCACCAAGTAGTGCACACAGCAGACGTCCCTGAGGGCATTCTGTTCACTTCTGGTTGATTTAGCTTTGTCTTTTGCTGAGCAGCCTGCACTATGAATGACTTTTATAATTGGGAGACAGGGCAATAAAGACCCTCAGCTGTGTTCCACACGACGAAGCGTAACGCGTGTGCATTTCTGAAGGAGCAGCGAGATCCGAGGGGCACTTCCACAAACACAGAGCTTCGAGGCTGCCCCAGGCCCACCTTCAGGTGAGGGTGCTGTAACCAGGGAGGGCAGGTGGCCCTGGGCCGGCCCTGGCTGCAGGCTCTGGCCCAGTGACAGGCCCCAGCAAGGTCAGGTGGGCTGCAGGTTGGTGCTGGGGCTTGGCCCCAGCTGCAGCAGCCGGGCCCACTGACCTTGCTCTGCTGGCCCCGGTCAGCTGCCCCAGGCCCCTCGCCATACCCCAGACTGGGTCCCAGGCTCCAGCTCAGCCTGGGGGCCGCCTGCCGGGATGGGTGAGCCTCCATGGCTAAAGCAGCCACCCCACAGCACCCCACACCTCGGAACTGTCCCCTTCCATCCACTACTGTCTTCCACAGGGGCTGTGGCTCCACCAGCTTGGGCCGCGCCAGTGTTATTTTCTCTATTTGCGTTGGGAAAAGACAAATATTTGACTCCCAGTCCAAATGTAAAATTATAACCCATACAACGTGCTTAAAATTGCATTCTCTTAGAGACCCGCAGGGCTCTCATGGCGACGGGAGTGAGGGCTGCGGGGGTCTGGACTTGAAGCAGAAAACTGCGTAAGTCCCATTAGGAGCAGCCACTTCCATTTATTTATTTATTTTTGGTAGTGGGGATTGAACTCGAGACCTTTCACTTGCAAGGCAGGCGGCGGAGCCACTGAGCTACATCCCGGCCCCTTGGACGTGCTGTGGAGGGTGATGGATCCCCTCTCTGAAGTCAGCAAGTGGGAGGAGCTCGCACCTCCTGAGCTGAGCTCCTGGCAGGTGGTGCCACCTCCTACCACCCAGCCCTTGACTCACTGCACCCTAGTTCTGCAGCAGCCTCCTGCCTCAGCCTCCCAGAGTGCTGGGACTACCGGCGTGTACACCATGCCTGGCGAGTCTCAACTGTGCTCTACCCAAAGCTCACGTCTGGTACATGGAAGAGCCCCAGGGGTTGCTGTCCCTGTGGAGGGCCCCGGAGGCTCTGAGGAGACCAGCTCTGCCCCCGTGGAAGGAGAGGCGGGGGCACTGATGGCTGAGGCCTTGGAGATCGAGGGGTGAAGGGCACAGGCTGAGGGCAGCCGGGTGGGCGTTGATTAAGGGAAGCAGGAGATTCTGTGGGGCAAACACTGAGGAAGGAGGGAGGAGGAGCCAGGGGCACTGCATTCCTGTCACAGAAGACACTGCCAGGGCAAAGACCCTGGGAGCTATGAGCCTGCTGGGTCACAGGCAGCGGCTGGATGCAAGGACTCGCTGGAAAATGTCCCTTTCATGAGAGTACTACGCGTGTTATGGCTGAGTCTGGACACCGCCCAAGCCTCGTGCTTTGGGGTTCTAGGTGGCTTTTTCAGAGGGGCCTGACTGGAGTCTGACACTGGGATTAAGGCTGTGATCACTAAACCGCTACATCGCCCTAATCCCGGTAGCCTGGACAAGATAGAAGGGGCAGCAAATGCCGCTAAGGTCCGTGCTGCATCTGCCGTCTTCTGCCGCTGTGAGCTGCTGCCCCTCTGCTACGCACCCTGCCCTGGAGCAGCTGATCATGGACTAAACCTCCGCGAGCTGTGAGCCAAATAAACCTTTCCCCCCGAACTTTGGGTGTCGGGCATTTTGTCTCAGCACCGAGAGAAAAGCAACTAACACAACATGCAACTGAAGAACATGTGAAGGTCGGGGAGAACAATTTGTCCAGGGTCCGACCACGGGGCTGTTTCAGTGACTTCCGGCCCGGAGCCCAGCCCCACGTGGCTGTGTCCCGCAGCGTCACTCTCCACATCAGCTCAGATGCTCCCTAGGACCCCGATGCACACAGCTGCCCAAGGACGGCCGCGTCATTAGGGATGTGTTCATTCATCTCGCAAAAGCTGGCAGATGTCTGTGGGGGCCCACCGTGCATCGGGGTGACCTGACGACCGCCCTGCTGTCCCCGGCTGGTGGGGGCGGAGCTGGGATCTGCCCGGTGCCTTGGCCACTGAGGGGGGCAGGGGGCTGGCCGGCCCCGCCCTGGCCCCGCCTCGGTGACATGTTGGGGCGGGGTTTGTGGTGGGGCTCCCTGACCTGCCCTCAGGCTCCTCATCTGTAAAACGGGCGCAGCGGCGCCACGGAAGGCGGTAAACCCCATCCACCCTGGGCCAGGCGCAGGGGAGGCCGCAGTGTGGCCCCCGCCGTCCCAGCCTGGTTAGTGCCCTCCCGCCCGCACTCACCTGGTCGGCCCCGAAGGCCGCGAGGTTCCCACGCACGGAGCTGGCGGCGAGCGCGAGCAGCAGGAGCGCGCCATACAGCGGGGCCGCGCAGTAGGGGCCGGGCGGGGCCGCGCGGACCGGCGCGGGGCGCAGCGGAGGCGCGCTCAGGTCCCCGCAGAGCGCGAGGCGGGCGTCGCCGCCGGCGGAGGCGAGCAGCAGCCCCAGGCCCGGCAGGTAGAGGCCAAGGCTGAGGACCAGCGCGCGGCGCCGGCCCAGGTAGGCATCGGCCACCCAGCCGCCCAGCGGCGCCAGCACGAAGGAGGCGCCCAGGAGCAGCAGCGCAGCCAGCGAGGCCTGCGCGCCCGCCCAGCCCAGCCCGCCCAGGTGCAGCACCAGGGTGGCCGCCACGCCGAGGAAGGCGGCGCGCTCCAGGGCCTGCACGGCCAGCACCCCCACGCACGCGGCGCGCACCCGCCACGGCCGCGCCCGGGCCACCAGCGGCTGCCGTTCCTCCGGCCGCGGCATGGCTGCTGAGCCTGGCCTGCCGGGCCTCTCCCGCCCTCCCCGGCCTCTCCTGACCTCTCCTGTCCACTCCAAGCCTCTCCCGCCCTCCCCGGCCTCCCCCGGCCTCCCTGGGCTTCCCCTGCACCCCTGGGCCTCTCCTAAACTTCCCCAGCCCTCATCATCCTCTCCTGTGCCCCCTGTGCCCCCTGCCCGCTCTCTGCCCCTTCTCTGTCACCCCAGGACTCTTCCTCCTCCACTTCTCTGCCTGTCCCCCTTTCCTGCTGGGCTCCCTGGTTCCCCTTTCTGAGCACCCGTGCCCTCTGTAGGACACCGGGGGGCCAGCACTGGCCCCCACAGCCCCACGGTCCCTGTCCCCCTGAGCTCTGTCTCCGTCCCTCTCTGCGTCTTGAGAAACTCTGGGCTTCCCCTTTCACTGGCCCAGTGGCTGCTGTCACATGGGTTTAGGGGAAATGAAAGTGGGGTCACAGGCCCTGGCCCCCACCCGCCAGGGTTTCTCAAATCCTCCCCTCCTCTACCTGCCTCCCACCCACCAGCCTCCAGCCTCCGAGCTCAGGAATGTTCTTCCTTTCGCTTTCATTTCTCTCCAGGATTCCCCAGTTGCTGCTTCTGCGTCATGTCCTCTTCCAGTCGGGACCAAGGCCAGGCTGATGGACCCGGAGGGCAGCATGGGGTGGCACTGGCCCACTTCGCAGATGCGGGACTGAGGCTGGTGGGGGCGGGGGGGCAGTGACAGTCGGGATGGAGCCACTGTGCTCCTGAGTGACCAGAGTGACCAGAAGCCCGCAGGGTCAAGCCACAGAGTGCAGATGCCACGGAGGAAGGAAGTGGTCGCATTCAGGACACGGCAGCACCATTTGGACCCACAGGGCGTGGAGATTAAGCACGCTGGCCTCTGGCTAAACCCCAGCCACTGGCCCCCACCCTGGACTCCTCCTGCCCCAGCCTGTGGCCTGGCCATGCCTCTCGAGGCGGCTCTGCCCTGCACCCCGCTTCTCCATGTGGGTTGCAGCCAGAAGTCGCCTCTGCACAGGGACCTTATCCATCCCCTGTCTGGTTGCCCCTCTGGTTCTCCATGGCCTTGCCACAGCCTCCTGCCTCAGTGCCCTCGGCTTGGGCGGGACTGTTCATGCACTTTGCGGCTCCGCAGTAGAACACAGCTCCCAAGGCGAGATCTCAAGTGACGAGTGACGTCAGCAGGGCTGAGAGCCGCGGACCCGAAACTGGCTTTTAACCTCTGACATCTGCGCTGGGAGGGACAAGTGTATGGCCCGAGGGACCGGGAGGGGGCAGGCCCACACCCACGCCCTGTTTGTCACCGTGACCAGGGACCAGGGGCTTCAGATGAGGCAGCCAGGGGTGGGGAGACAGGCAGCCTCAGTGAGCTTCGTGTCACCTTCAGGGAGGCTGCGACCACTGCCCGAGGTCGTGGTGATGGAGTGCGGCTCACAGACCAGTGGCCGCCCCTTGGCAAGGTCACTAGGCCAGCAAAGGTGCCACGTGCAGCCAGGGAGCCAGCCTGACAAAGGCCGGTGCTGACTGGCTGTCATGATCTCCAGCAGGTGCAGATGGCGGGAACAGCTCCAGCAGCAGCCAGGCCCCAGGGACAGCCAGGAGAGGACAGCAGCAGACGGGCAGGTGTCTCTTCCTTGTCAATCAGCCTCCATCCCCAGTAGACGAGACAGGGACAGGGTGGCCCCTAGGGGAAGACCCAGCACTGCTGAGCTGGGGAGCAAGGGGCGGTTTGCCTCTTGCAGACAAAAGTGTCGTTCTGAATCGCTGTGACTCACCCAGGGCACAAGTGACAGCATGAGCAGCGTTGGGGCTCAGGACCTTGTGAGGAGCCCAGAGCTCAGGGCTGCAGCCACGCCCCACAAACCTAAGTGGTTTGGGCCTGATAGAGACAAACCACATGGTGCCACATTTTTATTTTTTGCATTTGTTATTTTTTAATATAAAAATTAAAAAGTGACTTCCTTCCTTAAGATTCTCTACATGAAAATTCCGATTTTTGGCCACCAGAAGTTATACAGGGCCTGGCAGCCCCGGGCCCACTCACCAGGGCCTGTGTGGCTGCCGCCCACCGAGTGGAGTGGCCCCGTGACGTGGCCGGTGGTGGCCTTGGCTGGAGGCTGGGGGGAGGCTTTTCACCTGCACCTCTGACTGTGGCTGCTGCGCCTGGCGCTGTGAAGGGGTCCCTGAGGCTGCAGGGACGTGGCCTCTCCAGTCTCCCGGTCCTCCTGGGGACCCCTGGCTTGGGGAAGTTCACAAGTACGCCTTGGGGAACCTCTCAGGCCCCAGCCCCACCTGCCAGGACCCAGCATGAGCACTTCTCGGGGTTGGAAAACGCCCTGAAACCTGGATCTGACTCCGGACTCCAGGCGTGGCAGGGCAGTCCAGGCCACGGTATCCTGGCAGTTACATGGACCGAGGTGGGCAGCAGATGCTGCACACAGACACATGGTGACTCGGCAAGGATGATGGGCCGTGGGCCCTACAGTGGGCAGGGCTTCATCAGGCCCTGCCCAGGCTGGCCTTGCATGTGCCGGGCAACTGGGGCTCCTCTCAAACCGGGCTGCCTGAGTCTCTGCCTGCAGGATGTCCTGGCTGGGGGGATCATGGGAGACAAAAATTGAAGCCACTTGGATAAAAGCACCCTAGCTGTGGAGCTGGGAGGACAGAGCAGAGGAAAGGGGTCAGAGCACACTGGCCTTGTCGGACGGCTGTGCCTTCACTGGGGGTGTTTCATCTTGACCCGCACCCAGGGTGGTCCATCTCCACTGCTCTGTGGTGCAGCAGGTGTACCAGGACTGCACCCCTGGGGCCTCGCTGTCCCTTGTGACTGCACAGCACCCTGCTCCGGTCCCCGAGGTCATGTGGCTGGGATGGATGCCCTCAGGGATGTGTGTTGTGGGAGGACAAGCTTGGGAGCTGCTGTTTTACCCCATTCCTGTGACCAGGACAGCTGGGGCCGGGTGGAGTGGCCCAGAGATGATGCCTTTCCGAGCCTCTGGTGCCAGATGAACCAGCAGGACATCCCCAGGGCACAGCTGAGAGGCGAGACAGATTCACCCCTGCCTGTGGAAGATGGCAGAGAGCCTGCACCCTCATGTCTTCCCTGTACCCTTGTCACCCAGGAGCAAGACCAGCATGGATGGGATTTAAGTGGGGTTCAACACTTACCACCATGTTGGCTGTCTGTCCCTGTGAAGGATACCTGTGTTAAACCAACTTTTAAGGAGGAGAGGTTTATTGGCTTATGGTTTCAGAGGGTGCAGTCCATGGCTACTGGGCTCTATTGCCTTGGACCTGTGGTGACGCAGTACATCATGGGGGAAGGGAACCATGCAATAGGCAAGATGCTCACCTCAGGCAACCTGGAAGTACAGAAACAGGAAGGGGTGGGGCCTCAACATCACCTTCAGGGCCATGCCCCCAGTGACCTCACTTTCTCTCTCTAGGCCCCTCCTCCTAAAGGTCACACCACCTCCCAATAGCACCATAGGCTGGGACCACACCTTTCAGGCACAGGTGTTTGAGGGGATATTCAAGATCCAAGCCCTGGCACCAGTGGTAGTTGTTTATTTAGTGTCCATTGTCACCGCCCTGTAGAAAAAGGCTTGGCTGTCCCGCCTGCCCTGTTTCAGACTCCCCCTCCTGTCCCCACGTTCCATGATGTTGCTCGGCACCTGTCTTCCCAGTGCCCATGCTGTCCCACCCTGCAGCACTCACTGCTGGGACAGTGGGCTTTCAGCTCAGGCTCGACACCGAGGCCAGTGTGCTCTGCTAGGCCTCCCTGGCGTGGAGTCGTTGAGTCCCAATCCCTTGGGTCCACGACGAGGGCCTGCTAGCACTGACCGCTCCTGTGTCGGCCACGAGCCTCATCCCTCCCACAGCCTCTCTGTGCACCTGCCCGACTCTGCCCTCAGACGCTCAGCTCCCAGCTACCTCTGACCTGCAGCTCGGCGCACGCTGCTCCTCCAGCCCAGAGCTTTCCAGGATGCCTCAGTATCGGTCCCCAGGTGTCACTTCTTCTGAGAAGTCTCCCTGGTTTCTCCCGCAGTGGTGTTGCCAGTGTTGTCCCCAGCAGGGACTCGTGTCGTAGCTGCCTGCTTGCTTGCCTGTTCCTCCTGGGTGGGGGGGAAGGGACACTTGGGGGACGTGAGTTGTATTTTCTTTTTTTTTTTGGTACCGGGGATTGAACTTGGGTCCTTGTGCTTGCACAGCAGGCAGCGAAACCACTGAGCTAAATTCCCGGCTATGAGTTGTATTTTCTTCATGTCTGTGCTTCAGTGCCTGGCGCCATGCTCAGGGTGTGCTGGCTGCATCCTCCTCAGAGGAATGGATGCGGAGCTGGACCAGCAGAGAGCAGGCCCTGCCTCGACCTCTTAAGTGCGTACTTAACCGCTCCATTTCTCAAAAGTGGAGGAGAACCACAGTTTACCTCGGAGGTTTTAAGGTGAGCGTCAGAATGAAATGACCCTGCAGTGCGCTAGTCCTGTAATCCAGGTCCAAGAGACATCTATACTTGCTGAGAGTGACACATGCCTGCAGTCACTCAGGCCTTGCAGTCAAGCCCAGCTGAGCAGCGCAGCGATCACAAATTCAGGTCCAGCCCCGGCAATTCAGCAACTTAGCAGCACCCTGTCTTTAAAAAAAAGGGATGGAAAAAAGACCAACAAAAAGGAAGCGAAGTATGTAAATAGGAAAGGGTGGCGGGATGAAGGGTGCACAGGGAATGGGAAAAACTAAGAACCAAGACACATCATGCACAGGTACAAGCACCCAATGATAAATGTAAACGTATTATATACCTAAAACATACCAATGAAAGAATTTAAGCAAAAAAAAAAAAAGGATGGAGAGGTAGCTCAGTGTGAAGGCTCTGAGTTCAGTCTTCAGTACCACAGAGCCTACCAAACAAATAAGTGAAGAAAGAAAGACAGAAAGGAAGAAAGAAGGGAAGGGAACCAGCCAGCTGACCATGTGCTGCACACTGTCCGGGTCAGAACAGTGAGCACAGGCCACACAAATCTCTGCCCTCACTCAGGTGGCTGGACGGGGCAGGGCTGACATTCTAAGCACTCTAAGTACAGGATGGAATGGAGTGCAGGGCAGTGCAGCACCACTGTGCCAGCTGGCCGGAGCCTTCTAGTCAGTCGGTGCCCCTCCTCCCCAGCAGCTGAGTCGCCTGTGAGGAGCTCAGAGCTGGGGCCGGACCCACCTGAGCGCAGCGCCTGGTGGGCAAACTCCCTCGGCGGGCAGAGTGGCCTCAGTGTCCCCTGTGCGAGGCTCCGGCACACAGCCCCTGGGGGCATCTGTCTGTGTGGCATCGGGGAGGGACCTCTGGGCCAGCAGCAGACCCACCTGTGCTACGTGGGAGGGCCATGGCTCAGGTTTTCGCTTTCTCCTGATGAAGAGTCAGCTTCTCCCCTGTAGCATCTGCTTTCTGCGCTGGGCCAGCCAAGGTCTGAGCGCAGTGCAGCGTGAGTGCCTGATGCCTGGGTTCTTGGGCATGGCCGGAGCGCTGCTGGGAGGCTTTGCAAACTGAGATGAGAAGGTCCCGCTACCGGGAGTCGTAAGTAAACGAGCCCCTGGCTTGGGCTCGCAGCCGGCACAGCTTGTACCCTCTCTTCAGAGCTCCGGATCCAGGAGGCACGGGCTGCGGGGGTCGCAGTGCAGGCCCCAGCCGCACGGCTTCCTGCTGCCTCCCTGCGCCCAAGCCTCCCTCTCTGCTTGCCATGCTCCTCCTGTGCCTTCCCTTTCTTTGCCTTCCTGCCTTCTGGGTGTATAGCGGTCTTTCTCCTCTCTATTCCAACTGACTGCTCTACTAGCTTTGCATGCACATTTAACTCAGCAAAGCAAAAGCTAGGTAACGTCTTTCCCTCCCACCAAATAACACAACTTTCTGACCCTGATCCAGTCTTACTGTTTGTGCATTAAGGTTTTGTGGTTCTTCAGTTTTATCTGTTTTTCCTAACTCTACCAAGTAGATGTTAGTATACTTATTTATGCAATTGATGCTTATTTAATCTACTTTTGTGATTATTTCTTGGCCAGCATTTTTACTTGAATCTCAGACTTTCTGGGATCATTTCCCTTGTTCTTGAAGAATGTCCTCTAGGACTCCCTTAGGTGAGGGCTGTTTGTTGTCAATTCTCTCAATTTTTATCTGAAATGGTGTCTGTCTTAATCCACCTTATGTTGTGGCTTAGTTACTTTCCTCTTGCTGAGACTCAGTAAGCAGCACCCACTTCTTTTTGTGTTTTGGTACTGGGGATCAAACTCAGGACCTTGTGCTTTCGAGGCAGGTGGAGGCACCACTGAGCTAAATCCGCAGCAGCACCCACTTCTTAAAGGGGCGGTTCATCTCCGCTCCCAGTTCCAGGGGATGATCCAGGCTCCCAGCTAGGAGCAGCTCGGCAGAGGGGCTGGCAGGAGACGCTGCTCACCCCACAGCGGGCCCAGCGGCCAGGAGGAGAGGAGGAGCAGGGGCCAGAATCTCCCTTCCTGTCTCAACCAGCGACCGCACGCGGCCACCCAGGCCCTGCCTCCTGCAGCGTTCTGAGCCACGCCCTCGCCCGTGGGTGAATCCCCTGCTGGGCACAGCGCCCCGTGACCCACACACAGAATCCTGGGGGACACTTTAGATCCACACCATAGCATGCTGCCATGAGGACACCACACACTGCGTGAGAGCTCGCTCTCTCCCTCTCTCTCATTCCCTCTCTCTCTCTTTTCTTTTTGGCACTGGAAATCGAATCCAGGGCCTTTGCGCTGAGCCTCATCCCTAGCCATTTTATTTTATTTATTTATTTATTTATTTATTTATTTATTTTTTGGTACCGGAGATCGAACTCGGGTCCTTGCGCTTACGAGGCAGGCGACGGATCCACTGGGCCAAATCCCTGGCCCTAGCCATTTTAAATTTTTCTTATTTTGAGACCGAGTCTCACTAGCTCACTAAATTACCCTCATTGGGCTTGAACTTG